CTCTCATCGCTATCTCGTGTATCATCCATCACTATTTACCACTACTATTTCATTCGTTCAACACAAGATCCCAATCCTCAAATTTGTTTATTCCTTCTCATAGAACTGTTTCCTTTAAAAAATCCTTAGTCATACATGCTATCTCGTTTTGGAATTCACTACCAACCTCTTGACGGAAATCCTCTCATCCTTGACCTCATTTAAACATAATTTATTTTGCCATCTCCTCAGTAATCAATCTTCCGAATATATGTAAAATAAAGTTATTTTGTAATTTAGAGATGTCAGTTATACTATACTGATATCTTGCATATATCTATGTATGTGTCATATTGCATATTTGTACAAATAGGTGAACTCACCTGTATGTAATCATCTTTAAATTCATATGTCTACTTCAAGATTATATGTTTACTACAGTGCCTTTATTTTTAACATTAAGAATTTTTAATATTATGAAAAATTTAGATGTTTCTTTATTTTAATATTAATATTAGACAACTTTGTAAATTAATTTATTTTTAATTATCATTTAATTATTCACAATTGCCACACTGTTGTCATTTCTTTGTTCATTGTAGTTTTCTGAGGGGACTAAATGTCCCAGAATAAAATTTACTTTCTTTCTTTCTACTATTTTCTGTTGTTTCTGTACTATAACTCGGATTTTATTAAATAAGTTGTTAGCTCTGATGATGTGACCCACATGTTTGGGTTGAAATTTTAGTAACAATAAAAAAATCTCAAAATGACTAGTGCAAATCCAGCCTCTATAAAGTGGGTACCTTAATTAAATAATTAATTAAGGGGGAAAACCTGGCTGTTGAGGGTGATATTGTCCCGTCACCTCCCTGCACAACCATTGACCTTGTAACAGTACTTCCTCACATTGTACTAGACCCATAACCCATAACCCATCATGGGTTGTTAGTGCTACAGCTGTTTTTTTTGTTGTTTTTTTGTGCCTAGTGGACTAAATTATGAGGCTATTACAGAGATGAAATCTAAAATTTCATTTGCATTTTCCCGAAAATATTGTATTTGTAACCACTATTCACCGATGCCACAGAAATAATATCTCAATTAAATATTTCATGTTTTGTAATCATGGCAAATGGAACAAAAAAAAGATATATATTAAAAGTGAAAAATAGAAAAATCTGATTTTTAATTTTACTTTTTGGCTGGATGATTTGAAATGGTATGATACCAATTTATTTATCCGTAAAATTGGTAACATTTTTTTTTTTCAGTGTTCATCTATTATGGAAAGTGAACAAGAATGAGGGTGAAACATTGGTAGGTGTTTCACCTTTGGTGTATATTGCACACTAACAGTACACACTTCAGGATCACCTCTCCTGAGAAGACTTAATGCCAGGGGTGTATAGCTGGTAACCAGTTGTCCATAGGTAATGGGGCCTACTTTGCTGGGAGGAGTAATAGTGATTCAAAGTAATTCTGTGACCAGTCTCGGGTATGGACAGTCTTTATGGAAATGACCTGGCATGTTAAGGAAATCAGATCTGGTAGATGGAATATACAATCCCTCAATGGCAAAGAGGTTGAGATTGTAGAGGAGATGAAAACCTATAAAATCGATATCCTTGGAGTAATCAGAAAGAAAGGATCAAGAGAAATACAGCTAGACCAGGGATATATCCTTCTATATTCAGGAGTACCACCGGGTAACCAAGCAAAGGAAGGAGTTGGATTGATTTTTTAATGATGACGTTTTTCTGAAAGTTCAGGATTGGAAAACGGTAAACTCCAGAATAATATCTGCCAATATCATTCTCACATTGGGAAAAGTAACACTAGTCCAAGTCTATGCGCCAACTGAGGACACTAGTGTGATGGAAATGGAACAATTCTACAGTGACCTAGCACGCATAATAGAAAAAAGCTGAAGTAGAAATGTTATTGTTAGGGGAGATCTCAACGCAAGAACTAGATGTGACCACAGAGGAGCCCATGGATGGATGTATGGGCCCACATGGAGGCGAAAGAACGATGAACAACAATGAAAGACGACTAATAGAATTTTGCATAGACAATGATCTTGTCATAGGCAATTCCTTTTATCCACATAAAGTGGCTCATAAGATAATTTTTTCAGCACAGGAAGGAAACGTTTATAGTGTGATTGACTACTTTTTGTTTACCAAGGAAATCAGAAAATTCTTCACAGACATCAAAGTCATCTGAAGTCCGCAAATCGGGAATGATCGCATGCTTTTGATCACAGATAGCAGAATTCCTTTTATGAAAAAGCTTAAACCGAGACAACATAGTCCCAGAATTTATTAAATATGGTGGACCAGAGTTAGTAGGACTTCAAAACTTCTTCCAAAGAGTTTAGGACAATGAAAGAATCCCTAAGGAATAGGAGTTCAACGTTATAATACTCATACACAAGAAAGGAAGTTTAAGTGATTGCTCTAATTACAGACCAATCTGCCTGTCTTCAGTCCTCCATCCTAGAGAACCGAATAAGACCACTGGTGGAGCCTGACCTCCTTGAAGAGCAAAGTGCTTTTAGATCCGACAGGCAAACAAACGATCACATCTTTACTCTTAGAAATGTGAAAGGGAAGTCCTGGGACCAAAACCGAAATATTTATCTCACCATCTTAGACTTGAAGGCAGCTTTCGATTCGGTTCTCTGTAATGAAATTTGGGAATCCGAAAAACATCCCAATAAAGCTTTTAAAGGATATAAAATCGACCTATCAAGAGCCTAAAGGTGTTGTATGCCTGAATGGAAAAGAGTCGGGAGTGTTTAGTCTCAGAGAAAGGAGTGAAACAAGGCGATTACTCCCTAAGCCCCCTTTTCTTCATTGTCTATATGAATGAGATCGCCTCCATCTACAAAAGGCGCACAGCACGAATGCACATGGGCCACTGGAACTTGCTTCCTGTAGTTGTACAGTTTCTCCTATTTCCAGACGACATCATTCTTATTGCAGATTCCCACGAGCGACTTCAGCAAGCAGTAACAGAATGGAATGAAGAATCAAAAGGGAATGACCATCAATTCCCAAAAAAGCAAAATACTTCAAGTAGGCAGAACTCAAGAGGATGTCTGGATTGTCTGTAATGAAGAGATGATGGAGACGATGACATCCTTTACCTATCTGGGTAGGGTAATCAATAGGTTGGGAAATATAGATTCAGAAGTCTCAAGCAGGATATCAAAAGAGCATTCTGTCTACTATACGATATGCAATACCGTAATTGGAAAAAAAGAAGTGGGACAGGATTTGAAGCTCTATCTGTTTAAGTCTGTCTTCCTACCGGTACTTATTTATGAAGCAGAGGGTTGGATCCTGAATGAGAGGTTACAAAGCCCTGTTACTACCCTTGAGATGAAGTTTCTTAGAAGAATTGTGGGGAAAACGCGGAGAGACTGTGTCCAAAATGACAGCATCCATGAGTTTTGTTTGGCTTTCACAATGTAATCTCTCATATTAATTAATATTTGATTATAAAGTTTACAATTTAAAAATTAAAAAAATGTTTACTTTTTTTTAACAAAGAAATTAGATATGAATTCTGGTTGTTTTGGAGGTTAAATTAAATCATAAATCCTCAGGATATGACTGAAAATTATATATAAATATTATTATTTACTATCCAATTCAATTAATGAAAATAACAACAGGAAAAAATAATAAAAAATATAGCAGCCTCTAATGATAAAAAAAGTTCCTTGGCTATGTAATACACAATTATGCCTTGAATTTTAGAGGTATTTTCTCCACTTTCACTTCCATCTAAATGATGCACATAACTTCTGAAGGAAGTTCAACAAGTATCTAGTACATTTAGCTGCCCGGTATATATACCTGATAAAAAGGGTAGGGATATGATCGGTGGAATAACATGTACAGTAAACAAGACTATTAACTGTGACCCTGGGTCTTGTTGTGTAAAAACAAGATTATCTGTTCTACTTATAATTGGACAACAAAAATTACAATATGCCAATTAAATTTATCTTACTCATCAAGTCCAAAGGAAGTATTGCAATAGTCTTACACAAACATTTTTGCGTTAATGCACATGTACCATGTACTTGAAGCTGACGTAAAAGTACAATATAAAACATCATGCAATGCTATGCATCAACAGTTTTACATCTAACCCAGAGAAGAACACTCATAACAATGGATGCTATTTTTAATGATAAAGACTTTGCAGAAATTGAGGAAACTGTAGAGGTGAGAGAGCAGCTGGAAGAGAAGGAACAACTGGTAGCATGTGAACCTCTAACTAGAATTGAAGATGTACCCACATTAGTACAATTGTAACCTTTAACAAAATGTATTGATATAAAGGAACTAATACTTTCTTCATATAACACGATTGTAGCATATAACTGTTCAACCTGATAAATTTCATTGTGAGGATTTTGGGGAAGGCTTCTCTGTCGTATCAGTTTCACTCGGAGGGTACACTATCCATGGTTGTGACTTTGACGAAACTGCCACCTACAGCTCTCTAGGAAGCAGTCAGAACGACATTGTGGGACTTTCTGAAATCCAGGTATGGCTATGAGTACCAACAATTTCATGACTTCATGACTACGGCATTAAAAGGATTTTTTCACAATTTGTACGTGGAGGACGTGAAACCATTTCTGAGGACATTAAACAGCTCGTTGCCAAGATGTAGTCTTCCTCATCATCTCCTTCCAATTAGTGGATGAGGGTAGAGACCACCACCATGTCATACACGGATGTCGATGGTCTGAGTCACAAAGAAGGTATGCCGGTGCGTATGTCCCGGATTCAGAGACCTCGTCACGTTCAAAGTCCTGGGATCCAGAATCCGCAAATTATCTGAACAAACAGCCAAAGGACCAGACAATGTTCTACAGTATTGCAGAACGCCATCAAGGCAAATGGTTGCATTCTCCAGAGGAGACTGTGGATTATGAAACCTTTCTCAGTATAAGTTATACGAACGTGAATAACTCCGATAACTTCAAACTGTAGTCATAAAGGAAAAAATAAATTATCTCACCTGAATGATTTGATGATGTTGCAACTTCGGACAAACTATTTGGACTTGTGCACACTAAAAAAATCATAATGTGTTAAACATAAATTTCTTTGTTTTTTGCTATCAATGTAATTATTCTTTAAATCTTACTTGGTAAACTAATAAATCCAACAGGTTGTTGATTTAAAGCAAAACTTTGAGTATTGTGATAATTATTTTGATCTTGTTTTGCTAATATTTTTTCCTGCTTTCTCCATTTTGCCCTTCTATTTTGAAACCAAACCTATAACAACAGTCATGTCATAAATGATAATCAACTAGAATAATTATACTGATTGTTTAGTTAAACAAAATTAAAAGATTTATTGGTTTATCACAGAAGGGGAAAAATTAATAAATATAAAAAAAAATTCTTGAGACCGAATAGAAACTTTTTTGCTGTTTATAAAACATTTTCATTGAAGGAAAACAGGAATTATACAACTCATTTGATTATATTTCAAAGATTTTGTACTTTAAAAAAAATCCTTTATCAATATATTTTTAAAGGGTATTTAAACCAAATATAATCATGAATCAGAAGGGGTAGCTAGATTATATTTAAATCTCATTTTGTAATATTAAATCATGGCTGAAACAGAAGTATTATACTAAAATTGTCTCAAAATAAAATATTTTGGTGGAAAAAAACACAAATGCAAAACCAACATAGTTGGTTGGCATGGAATAAACCAACCATAGTTTTACATTTCCTTAAAGTTCTGAATATGTGAGTTAGAGTATGGGTATTGCACAACAGTTTCTCTTGAGGAAAACAGACTTTTGACTGAGTTTGGTACTAGTGACTATTTTGCAAACACTTTTTGATTTCCTCATTATTATTATCCATTCATCTCTCTGTCATCTGTTAGGTAAGGTCAAAATATTTCAATTATTCTATTTAAAACAAGTGTTCACCTGACTGATAGCATTAAAACCCACAAAGGACTGAGACAGGATGATGTATACTCTACAATTTGGCCCTTGAAAGTGCGGTACAAAAATCTGGAATACATGTTGGGGGAACAATATTCAATTAATCTACAATGATTCTGGCCTTTGTCGATGACATAGATACTGCTGAAAAACCTCTAAAGATTAAGAAAATACTTTTATCATACTTCAGATAGCAGTGGGTTTGTAAGTTCATAAAGGAAAAACTAAATACATGCATGCAGGTCCACAACTGAATTTGAACAAACCATCACACTATGTGGCTGGAAATTCATTTGAAAAGTTAAAAAGTTTGTCTATCTAGGCTTACAAGTGAATGCGGAGAATGAGATACAAGCATCCATTACAGAATGATGTCTGCAAATAAATGCTATTTTTGGCTGCTGAAGCATTTCAGGACCAGGGCTATTTCTTGAACTACAAAGGTGCAGTACTACACGCTGATAAGACTTGTTCTCACTGATGCCGACTAGTACTGGACATTATTTAGTTTGCAGGAGGCCCTTCTTAGATTTCAGAGGAGAATTCATGGTTCAGTTTGCACCAATAGAACCCGAAGGATATGGACAAATGCTGAGCTAACAAGACTACAAGAGCCCAGATATAGTAAGGGTAATAAAAATAGGGCGCCTTTGAGGGGTGGGACATTTAATTAAAATGATTCTGGATCATTCTAGCACCTAGGATGGCCCTGGATGAAAGGATTTATGAGACAGGAAGAGTGGGATGACCTTGACTCTGATGGATCAATGGAATAGGAGCGGATGTAAGATCCATCTAGGGAATCCGTAATTGGACAAAGCTGCAAGAGGCCTTGGCTCTGCAAGAATTGTAGCACCACGGATGATAATGATGTTTCAAAACATGGTAATTTACATGAGAAGGAGTTAATCGGAGGGTGCGGTCAAATAAATACTAAATTAAAATATAGTTATTATTTTATGAGAAGGAGTTAGTCGAGGGTGATGTCAAATAAATAAAAAAAATTAAAATATATAAATAATTTTAATTAAAATTAAAATTATTTATATATTTTAATTTTTTTTATTTATTTGACCGCACCCTCGACTAACTCCTTCTCATATCATATCAACGGTCAACCATATCTACATCAGTTATTATTTTAATTACTATTATTTAATTAAAATAATTACTATATTTTAATTTAGTATTTATTTGACCGCACCCCCCGATTAACTCCTTCTCATATTATATCAACGGTCAACCATCTCTACATCATGGTAATTTACATTTCATTTTCAATAATCCAACATTTCCTCACCATATTATTGTTATCACAAACTATGAAAATGATATTATTCTTGCTGAATGCAGGAACTGGACGTGTTTCTGTATATAAGAAGAAAACAAGTAACACTGCAAGAATTACATTAGCATAACCTTGTTGAATGTGACATCTATTCTAAATAAATAATAATAATACAAGCATTGCTATAGATCATGGGTCTCCAAACTACGGCCCATGAAAGCTTCTTTGATTACATGATAAAATTTTAAAAACTATTTAGTTATACTTAGCCATGCCCAAGTGAAAGTCATAAAAGGAAATCAATCCAGTAAATCATTTCCAATTGAATCTGGTATGCTGCAGAGAGGTGGCTTAACATGGATATTATTTATTTTTGTTCTTTGTGGCAGAATGACCCACTTATAACCTTTTACCAATGATATAATAATGGCAATAACTAAAGCAGCACCAAAAAGTTCATTTAGCAAAATAAATGAGTTAAGCATGAGACCTCACCAGGTTCTATGAGTGAAAAATGTATGAAAGATAAAGTACACAATAAGTGTTGACTTATTTTTTTAAGTTCTATGCCTTTATCATACCTAAGAGAAACAGTATACAACCATGAAAGTATAGAACGAATGTCAGCATCTTTACTTATAAATGAATTGTGATTTCAAAACATAAAACAAGGAAAATAAATTGATACAGTTAATCTGATGCTAGTCATGATCATAATGTATATAAATAACCAAATTTTGCAAAATAATAAGGAATCTGCAAAAAACTTAAGAAAGGAAAAAAAAGTCAGAAATCATTGTATAAATTCCTGATTATGATTTCCCTCGAATTATAAAATGTGACATAAATGTTTTAAATTTCAAGAGAATGAAAAAATTGTGATTTATACTTACTTGGACTCTAGCTTCCGTAAGGTCAATCCTCATAGCAAGTTCTTCCCGAAAAAACACATCAGGATAGTGTGTTTTATGGAAAGCTCTTTCCAATTCTTCAAGTTGAAAATTACTAAATGTAGTTCTGTTAATTTATAATGAGTCTTATCAGAATAAATATTCTAAAAAATTATAGTGCAATATTTTTAAGTATTTCAAAATTGAAATCTTGCCTGTATCTTCTCTGTTTTCTTTTTCCGCTTTGGTTGGATGTATTAAAGTCAGGTAAGTCTAATGTACTAGTATTAGATAGATTGTCATCAAGAGCATCACACTGATATGCTAAAAGGTAATTTTTTAAAATTAATTATTATTATTATTTAATCTTTTAATTTAGCCAAAAGTAATTAAGAAAACATAATAAGTTATGTTAAAGATCTGAAAGGATTGTGTATCCTTCTAAATAAGCTTAGATTCATTATTAAGTTACATGAATTTAACCATTAGGTTCGACTAATGCATTTATCCTAATTTAATAACTCTCTCCTACTAGACATTTATAAAGTGAATAAATGGTGAGTGATGACTTGTGTTTTTAGGTGATATTGTATCAAATATTATTAAATTGATTTAATAATATTTTCATACCAATTTAGGGAAACATTGTATGTACAGTTTTGTTATTATTTAATATTTTAATATAACTGGCATTGGCAATATAATTCACACTCATATTTCTATTTATACAACCTATATTAATATTTTTAAAGTAAACTACAATACTTACCATAAAGGTAAAGTCAATATATTTAATAAAATAAATCTTTCTTAAATCCTTTACAAATCTACTTTTGTTGTAAACTTGTTTTCTGCTAAAAATATGTTAAAAAATAATTCTTGATAATAGGTTATTATTTTTATAACACATAATCCAATGGATAAAATATTATTTACAACGTTAAAACATTTATGGCGTAAAATATTATTTTTATAGTTAACTACATCACAAATTATCTACTGTAATTTTAATAACTTAAGAAATCAATTTATTTATCGAGGACAAATAATGTTAGCTATATTAAATCAAGATACTTTTCTATACATTTAACTGAATGGAAAAATTAATCTTAATTCGGAATAGTTTATACATTGTATATCATTTTTTTTCATCCAGATAATTGATCAGTCGACTATTTACCCGTTTCTATATGTAATTATCTCCATTCAGAATATAATTAATTTTTTTTTAATATTTTTTTCACAGCTCATACTCACGAAGTTTGTCTCCAGAAAGAATTCCAGACAAAAGTTGATCACTATCAAAGTCATTTTCGATTTCACTCATTTTTTACCTACCACCTGCCAGACAATATGTATGCATTTGCCTGATCCATTACACAAATTAAAACATAATCAACAAGGAATATGATGATTTTTGATATGATAATACAATGTCTGTTTAAACAGGAAAAAAGAAATAAGAGGATTAGAAACCTTTAAAGAATACTTCTTGGGTAGGGGGGAGGAGGTGGTTGGGAGTAGAGCTGTAATGTTACTCTAGGAAACCTTAAAAACTATCAACCCTCATTGCATAAGTAAATTGATTTTATTCTATACAGCACATAAACTATAATGTATATTATTATATTTACAAACAAAGTCCATTTCTGATCTTTAAATATTTTTAACATTAATTTTCATAAAAATGAAAATCCTAAATATATCTATAAACACGTTTTTACATATCTGGCAAGATGTTATTAATAGTTGAAAAGCTAAGTAGAAGAACAAGTTATGTAAACAAAATTTGAATTTGTGAAAAATTAAATTTTATTGCTTTTTTAGCCTGGATCATTCAATGATTCTCATTCAGACATATCTGGCAAAACAAAAATAATTTACCTCAATGGGTGATCTAGTCAAAAATTAAAAATTAAAAATCATTTACAGATACTTAAAGCCGAAACATCAACAATAAAGGAAATATGACAAGAACACATTTTATTGGTGACCTTTGGACTACAATAAATTTAACAAAAAAATAATAAAATGGCACCAACTATAAAAAATATGATTAGAAAATTAAACTCATTTTTTCTGATTCACAATAGGTAACATATTCTTTCACTTTCCTCTTCAATAATAGTTTTTATGTCTGTGAAATAAATATACATTCCAATAGTATAAATGGAATAATTTTTTGTTTAATTTGTTTTTAAATATCTATTAAGACCATTCCAGCAAGACAAATAAATATTCCACCAACTGCTATTACTTTTACTATTATGTAATAATATTATACACTTCATAAATTTTAACTATGTTTTTTTCTTGCCTGAATGCTTTATACGAGTGGTTAGAAAACTAGGTCTTGTTTCATACATCCTTTTTCGACTAGGTACATGTGAATTCAAATATTATTAATTTAATCTTTAATTTTTTTTAAATATGTATTTATATCTTAAAAACGCCTAGGAATCTTGCTGAAAAATAAAAATAAGATAATTATTGTTGTCCAATTTTAATATTTCAGCTGAGCTCAGAGAAGTTGTCCATTGATATACCCAAAACTCGCTTAAGACTACCTTTGTCAAAAGTTTACTCTGCAAAAGTTGATATAATTGAAAATTCTTTAGGTTCATGTCTTAAATAACCATAGCAGATCCTTTCAGTTCAATAAAAACTAGGATAGTTAAGCAGGGTGGCGACCGACCTGGAAAAGTCAGGGAATTTTCAAAACCGGGAGAAGTCAGGGAAAAATTGTTAAAGTCAGGGAATTTTTTTAATTTGAAAATATTCTTTTTAAATTGGAATTAATGCACAGTGGATTGATATAACGACCTGAATAGACCTGGTAAATTTCGTTGTTATAATGTATAATTGTTATAGACGACCGGACGATCGTCATGTTTATATCGTTGAGTAACCTATACCTATCCACTTGCCACTGTCAATAACGGCCCTGGCCGTTGGAATTAAACAAGGGTAATGAATAAAATGTAAGCAAAATGGAGTTAAAACAGTGCTTTTTAAAAAAGAAAAATATGACAATCCTATTTACTATCGAATAGATGTATACTACGATGTAAGTATACATCTATTCGTTGGTTAACTAAAGGAAAACGTTGGCAGCTTCACATAATTCATGATAAGGAAATACGACTTCGAGTCTCTGTGCTTTAACAGCCGTTTAATCATCTTACATATTAACGTGTCTGTATGAGGTACATATGAAACTTAATGCTTAATGTATGATAAATTATACATATAGTTATAGTTAGAAATTAATTAGTTATAAACTATATATTTTTAACATTTGTGTCTCTTGACATATTGTTCAGGGAAAACTTTCATTAAACAGGGAAAAGTAAGGGAATTTCACTCTGACAATTTGGTAGCCACCCTGTTAAGGATAACAAGGGGTCCTTAGATATAGGAAATGAGTTAACATTTTTTGAAAATATTTTTTTTTATTCATGGGACCTTAAGAACCGGTCAATCAAATGAGATCTAGAAAATAAATTGTACTGAATTCCAAATGTAGTTGACAAAATAAATTCATTACAACCAGTAATTTAATCAAAAGGGATTTATTCCCTACAATAGTAATGACATTTTTAGTTAAAGTTAATTGTATGCTAAAGTAATATAGTTTTTTTAATTTTAAAAGTATAGTCGATAAAGATTAAGATAGACTGCTATGTGATAATTACAACTTTACAGAATAGTTAAATCAAAATTAGTTGTTTTCTTATTTACCAAAGTTTAATTTGCCCATGTGCTTGGTTTCAACTTAATACATTTTCAAGGATTGAGAAAAACAAACATTTTTTTAAAATATATTTATTTATGTTCAGAACCAAACAAACTCAAACATAATTACAAATGCTAGCACTTAAAGATTAACATAATCTAACACCTGAATATTCACATAAAAAATAGTAAAATAAAAGAAAGTAATAAGAAAAAAAAATTACAGTTGTTTACAAAAAAACAAAGAACAAGAAATATCAATAGATGTGATATTTAAAAAAATTATTGATATTGTTCTTATGATTTTTAAAAAAATATTAATACCAATTAGAAATCACAAAATTACTGTGTATTACATACAAATGGAGGTAACTAATATAAAATAAATGACAAGTTTCAACAATAAACTTTATTGAACAATTCTATAAAACATAACAAAACTCTTAATTCTAGAATAACCTGTAATAGAATCAATACTACATTGATTTTTTTTTTTTTTTTTTTTTTGGCTTATGAAACATGACTAAAATAAAATCTACATCTTTTCAGTCTGAAAAATTAAAACAAAAATTTCTACATGAAACATTTTTTCTAAATTATTAACATAAGGATAGTATTTAGTAAATTAATATATCAAAATAATTAAATGCTATTGCTTTTTTTGATTTCTAATATTTGAACTATACATGAGCCAATAATTAAGGCATTTATAGTTTATTTATACATGGTCCAAGCTTGGTGTATCACTTAAATGCAAATGATGCAACATCATGAAATTGTTTTTAATAACAATTTCCTAAAGAGTTCTAGTTTAACTCTCTTTTAGAAGTGCCCCATACAATACTTGTGCATTGCATAACTATTTATTTTTTTCAGCTGATCCAAACGTATTATGGACGGAGATCTCATATGTAGTACAGCCTCAGTTTAGAAGTTGAAACAAGGAGATCATCATCAAAGAAACTTGTTTCAATAAGAATATTCCCACTAAAAATAAAATCTGGGATTTAATTTGATAACATAAAACATATATATACACATATTTTAAACACAAAGCATGAAAGAAAAACATATAAAATATTGATACTGACTTAAGTACACTAGCTGGCATCATTTGTGATTCTGGTGCAGCTTCTATTAGCGACTGCCACGTATTAGTTGAATTAGGGATCACCAAACCGAACTCGAAAAACCATTCTTCTAAACAACGACCCTATATAAAATATTAAAATAAATTAATAATAAATAAAAATAAGGCTTTGAAAAAGAATAAAATAAATATTTTTTATATGAATAGTGCAATTTCAGTAATTTGAACTTCTATAGTTCCACTTCAGTAATTTAAATAGAAAAATAAATAAAATAAAAATGGATGGATGGAATTTTTTTTTTCAGAAATGTGAACCAAAAAAGAGATGTATTGAGCCAGAGACAAACTTCAAACAAAAGACACAAGTCTAGTAGAATTTAAGTCAATTTTCTTGGTTTATACCTACTTTTATAAAAAATAAAAGAGAACAATATGCTGTGACAAAAAATCTTCTACAAAGTCTAGGAGAAGTTCCTCCAGAAGTCAAAACAAAGAAAAATAACAGTCATGAATTAAAAAAAAAATTAATGATTGATTTCTATCTTCATCATAACCCATCCTCTTTTACCACATTAAGCAGTGTAAGGAGGAAGTTTATAGGGCCTTCTCCAGCTCTGCCGGTCCTCCACAAGACACCATCTACGATTCCATTGAAGACCTCTTTTCTGGAAGTCACTCTTCACGTTTCCTTTTAGGCCGACCTCTTCCTCTCTTGCCCTCTACTTTACCTTGATAGGTAGCTATTCTGTTTGGTTCCATCCACAGAAGATGTCCTAGCCATCTCAGTCGATTCTCTTTCATCACATCATTAGCCGGCTTTATATTAAGGGTCGACCTGATGGTGGTGTTGCGTACTCTGTCTCTTCTTGTTTTCCTCTCAATCTTTCAAAGAGGAATCGCATTTCTGACGCTTGTATCCTTGATTGATGTTTCTTTGTCAGCGACCATGATTCTGAAGAGTATGTTGAAATGAGAAGAAATGTCAATCTGAAAACAACCACTTCGTGTTTTCTTTCCTTGTTTAGAAAACCTCTCTTAACTGCTTCAAACATCCTGCTCACAGCAGCGATTCGCTTTTTATAAAACTATAAATTGATATTTTAATAATATATATACATAAATGAATGTATTAAGAACACACTGACATAGCTAACAGATCTGGACCATAGAAAGAAGCATAAAATCTGAGAACTAATACACGGAGGAGAAACATCAATAAAGAACTGTTAACAGAAACTGGTCAGTCTATAAAGTTATGTTATGAAGGCAAGGAAGTTAAGATAGGTAACTCAAATCAATCCACAAGGAAGCCCTCTGAACAAAAATGAATACCAGAATAGAAAAGATACCAGGCAGAGGTCAAAAACCAAAAAGGATCAGCATGTACGCAGCGAAACGGAAAGCAGTAACCCATGATATGGGCTTAAACTCTGGTATTAATCCCCCCTTCACCACCTGGGCTAGAAAAACTCCGTATAGCCTAAACGGCGAGGAAGAGGAGGATAAAAAGAAAGTCTATAGTTGCATGTACTTATTGAGTTTTAATTTTGTATAGTCTGTAGTATTCCTGAACACTTTCTATAATACTAACTTTTTGATAATCAAGTACTCCCTTGCAACAGTTAGTTTAGATTACTGAGATTGCACTGTAATTATAGAGAAAAGACATTAAATACTCTCACAGTTTGATTATAACAAATAGATATCACACAGTTAATTTCATAACGAATATTATCTTGATTCTATCAGTCAGCCATCTTACATCATTTATAATCTAATTTGATAGAAATCAATTTATGTTCCTTGACAAAATAGTGAGATTACATTAAAATTAAATATATTAAAGTAGAAATGAAACAAGTAACAGTATTTAAAAAAAAAATATAATTTAATCACAATATTCACTTATCTTTCATTTAATTTATTATTATTATTATTATTTATATATATATATATATTTTTTTTTTTGCAAAATTGATTTCAAAACTAATCAGTTACACAATTAAAAATGAGAATTTCAAATTAAAAATGTATTCAATACACAAATGCTGCATTATCTCAGGATCATGTAAAACACAACTGACTAAATTAGAGGAACGAATTTAGTAATTGAGCTTATAAAAAGTTCAAATTGAAACTTTAAACAAAGTAATAAGAAAACATAATACGGAAAAGTTTTGATCAACTTTTAGGAGTTAAATGCTCCTCATTAAAAGTATTTGATATGAAATACTGTCAAATTACAGTAATCTTCTATTATATTGACTAAAATTAAGATATTAATTAACAAAGAATACTAAAAATAGTCTCATATCATATTCAAAGAGCATTCATCCTCAAAAATAAAAAAAATTATTGCATTCTGCATTTTAATTTTAACATAATGTATGGAATTAATAAATAATTAACTGATTTATATTAATTGAATACATGTTATAAGACTATTGTGCAAAAAAACAAACGAACACTGGCAAGAGTAAATTAGGTGCTTCCCCGACAATTTGTTGTCAGAGTTGCAGTACTACAGGATTTTTTTTTCCCCCCAAAAAAACTATTTATATATTAATAAGAATTCACATCTGCTATATTTTAAGAACCTAAAAATGCATTAATTAAACAAAATGTGTATATTTGATATTTATGTTTATAAATATAAATTGCAAATTAGCCAAAAATTGAGAAGGGATCTTCCCCACGAAAAGGTTTGGTAATATTCTCTATTTCCTATTAATTTCTTGGCTCTAAAAATCTTTAAAATCCAAAAAATCCATTCTATAAACTAAGCAGAAATGCCTAGATTGCCTTAATAAAACAATAAAATTCAAGGTTAGCCTATTTTGATTCTGTTTCACAAAAAAAAGATCTCTTGAATAATAAGTTAAAATAGCAGAATTCAGAATATTTATGAATGGCACTGCAGAACAGAGATAAATCATCATATGATGGTTAGCCAAATTAATCATATTTATTTACATAACCGATTAATGAAAAACTCAGTGAATTACACAATCCAAATTTCGGATACTTCAAAATAATATCGGACTAAGATTAGTTGGCAGGGAGAAATTAGCAAATTTCAGGAGCGATCTCTAAGGTTAAATCACAATAACTATATTTTTAAGGATATTTGTGACAATGCAAAACATTAACAAATTAAAAATTATTAGATTAAAAAATTTTACACAAAATAAACCTCACTAATACTATATTAATTAAAAATAAACAATAAATTAAACCTGTTGTTTAAAAATTTCATTAATACAAAAATACTAATTAATTGAAACAATAATAACTGTGTTGATTATTTAGCTAAAAACAAGCCCAAACTGGTGATCTATAACTTTCACAGGTGACGAGTGTGATGCCAAACCTTACTAAGTCCAACTCTTAAATTATACAAGATTGACAAATATCAATATCTAAGAAAACAGAATTATTTTTTGGGATAACCATGCTGTTGATAAATTAGTTATGTAATGAAGTGTCATTTCCTCTGAATTTTAAAGTTTTAAAAAATCTCAAAAGTTGGACTTAGTAGGTTTAAGCATATTGAGTGCATCAAATTAATCGAAATATCTCAAAATAATATATTTTTGGTTATAAAAATTATATGGTAAAAAAAAAAATTATTCTAATTTTTTTTTTATTCAGAAAATTCATGGTCAGAATGTAGCTCTGAATTCAAAATTGGTCATAATTCCTAGTATTCTAATAAAGAATGAGATGTCCAATTGATTAAAAATGTTTTTTTTTTTTTCAGATGACAATGCCTAATCAGGAAATTCAATCAGTTTTCAACCTTATAATTAAGAATATTGAAACAAATCCTTTAAGCATTAGTTGGAAGGCATGTCAGAGAAGACATGAAAAAAAAAAATGGATTTACTAGAGTCAAGCATTACGATGTTTTAATGTAATAAACAAATAGCTGAGATCAGCACGGATGTTAACAGAAAAGTTAAATTCACCACAAGTACATATTTCATTTGATTCCATTCTGAGGATTACTTATCACAAGACAAAAAAGTACCTTCCTCCACCCCAGCTAAATAAAAAGGATCTTTTGTATAAAACCACCCAACATTGAAAATAAATATAATATGATTTAAAGTTACAAAAAGCAATTAATATTATATTATTCTTAATAAAGAAATTAAACATTTTTAAAATACATTTATAAATAATATATTATCACATGCAGTTTTACCTTACAGTGCAGTGCTGTGAGTTCAAGAAAAAGTATGAAGCATGAATTTTTGAACAAATTAATGATAAAATATTATAAAGAATATTGAAGATCCTCAATAGATTGGTTCTATAAAGAAGAAAATTGACTATAAAAAGAATAAATATTATTCATATTGAATAAACACTAATTTAACTGATTAATTGAATACAATAAAAATGTGCCTGCAGATATGAAAATTTAATAATAAATGTCATTTATAGTGATATTTTTAAAATAAAATAAATTAGCAAGAAAAGTTATAAAGTATTTGTAATTATAGTTTTTTTCTTTGGAATATACTATTTACCAACTTTGGTAGAGGGTCAAATATTAAATGAAATGATTTTTTAAAGATTTTAGTAAGAATATTAAACTAAAACACAATAGGAGCCATTACAATTAAATTCAAAATAGTAGGTTAAATTATATATTTTAGTATAATTCAAACTGTAGATTGATATGGGAATATAAACCGTAATTACAGGAATAATTCCAACAATGATTACATTTAAGAAACAGGTTTTATTAAAAATTCAAATAATATTCAAATTTAATTAACTACCTTGACCATGAAGTAATAAAAAAAATTTATAAATTACATTATAATCATATTGTTTTTCCATTTTTCATGCATTATTCAAACAACCGAAATATTTTGGAAATTTTCATACAAAATTAAATCATAAAATATTTAACTAAACATACTTTATTTTTTTTATTTTTTATTTGAACAAATAAAAAAACTTGAGATTACATTAAACAGACTTATAAAAATAAGTATACAGTCTAATAATGTAAATAAATACCTGCTTTCGATGAGAATCAGCTGATGAAAATAGTAGACCTTTTTTTCCCCCACAAGTTTACCAATATAGTTTTGTTTCAGAAGAGTATATAATTGGAAATCCAAATAATCAAAGATAGTTAAAAGTTACGCATACATGAAGGGACATAATTTTTTTTTTTTTTTTTTTAAATAAGAAAAAGAGATTGTTTAGAATAAATCTGTTTGACTTGACTATTATTCTTTCCATATAAAGAAATTGTTAAATAAGTAGGACAATTAACAATGTTTAAAATAATTTAAGTACGTTTGTGTATATATAAGGCCTTACTAAAAAAGATACCAACTATACGTTTTATACATTTTAATACAAAATTCATGTATTTATAGACATTAGGCAATATGGTGATTCTAAATTTTATTAACCTTGGGTTAGTTGTGTTTTTGTAAATTGTTTGGTATTACTTTCTCTCACTATCTGAGAGGATAAGATAACCAGTATAAAAATTTACTTACCAATAATACAACTTAGAATAATTCAGAAAAACCTAAACACAGCAATACTTAATTCAATCATTAATGTATAACTTCTCAATATTCATTTTAGTTCATTTTCCTCTTCATTCATTATATTTTTTAATTTCAGTTTAATAAATAAAAATGTTGAATTATAAACGATAAAAAAAAAGAAAAAGAAATACTATATCATGTATAAAGCGATGAAAAGGGTAACAATTGTAAACAAATAAACACATGTTCATGTAAAACCATTTATTGTAACACTATAAGATTACTGTACACAATCCTTAAATACAGTTAATATTTGGCATTGATTACAAATGCAAAATACCTAATTACAAAATATACCAAGCATAGCACATAGCGATTATAAAATAATAATAAAAGTAAAGTATGGTATAAAATTCAAACCACATAACAATAAGTGATGCAGTGTGAGAAGTGAATGATCTAATGGGCCAAATATTTTCTATATTCAATTTTTATCATTTCTCAAACTGTATTTTTATAACAATATGAAAAAGAAAACCTTAGCAAGAGAAATAATAAAAATTGTTTACTATCCGTGAACTGGTATGTATGAGTGAGGCTTATGGCATGTAAAACCTAAAAAATGTTCTTAAACTTCAATCTTACCTTAAATAGAACTTTTTGCTCTAATCTAAACTTATCCATTTTTTCAACAGAAGAAAAGTTTATCTCACGAGATACTGCTCGGCACTTGAGGATCTGTTTAGGAACTCTTGCTTCATGTTCTTTGTCAGGAATTGATCTATAACAGTTTACAAATAAATACAGACGAATTTTCAAAATAAACTGAACAATAGTTTAATTTTATTAATATTGTTGCACCTTAATCATTATTAGTTAAGAAAATAGATATTTATTGAAATTTACAAATGTATCAACTAAAAATACAAGTAAATTTGAGTTGTTAATACGAGAGGTACGACTTGAAGATAAATTACCCATTGATATCACTCCAATTTCGTCATGATTTAAAATTTGAGTAAAATTAATTAACATAACATGATACTAAAACAACAATAACTGTTTCCTCAGTGAATAAACAGTTAATTCAATCTATGATAAAAATGAGATAAGGTTCACCATAAGATTGTTTCTAAGAATGATATACATCTATGGCTCAGAAAAGTAGTTACGATAAATCACCATATGAAATTACAAGATTCTCTTATCAGAGCTCATACCAAACAAACTTACTGATTGATATACTGATGATAGAATTTTTGGTTTACCAACTTCTTTACTGAGAACAATAGATACACTCTTTCTGATAGCATTTATTGAAAGGGCAAAGAAAAAAAAAAATTAAAACCAATTATTCCATTAATTTAGTAAAAGTGATTGTGAATTGCAACAAACCCCAAATCTAAATTATGCTTTCATAACGAAACTGGCCAATTCCAAACGCCTGGCATGCCACATTTTGGAAAACGTGCTTTGGGTTGCCCACGCCTCACACTAAGAAAATGTCCGCCAACAGCTCCATATTACATCAAATCCTCTAGCGCAAACATCAAATTCATTCGCGAATGGAGTTCATCTAATTAATTTATGGTTTTACCTCATTAAAATTAATTAAATCAGCAATTTGTTTGCGAAGAATCTGCTTAATCGCCACAAATCTGCATGATAGTAGATATCAATTCTCCTCCACGATAGCGAATCTTCATGTGCGAACGAGATTTGCCAGGTGTGGACGCACATTGAGGCTAATTATCTTCGCAAATATGCATAAAAAAAATTCATGCCTTTTTGCATTTTTATTGTTATAATCTAATCTTCACTGATGAATATAGATAGAACATTCAGGCAGGTAACCAATTCTGAGTTATGTGGTAATACAATCACTTTTTCGATGATTTTATGGTGAAACACAGATCAATTGTTAAGATTTTGATTTGAGCTAATGTTCAACCTATAGCTCTGAGTATGGCAGGTAAATAATGTTTTTGATTTACTTATTCTTTTAAGGGTCCTGGTCTGTCGAGAGAATAAATAATTTAAGGCTTAATGTGACAATGTACCCACAGAAACAAGATAAAACAAAATTAAAAAGAAACTTAAGTTATATATATTAACAAAACTAATAGTGAACTACTTAAGTAAACATATCACAGATGTTTTCAGATAATGTAGTATGATAATAGAAAATATTGATTAAGGCTATTGAGAATTTTTGCAAATGGGATAACAATGAACATCCTTATACCATACCATATCCTGTATTTTACCAAATTTTGCTCCATTATCAAACCTTGTTGTTAATCCTCTTATCTCATTATACTGAGAATTATATGAAATATTAATTCTTTGATGACAGAAATGAGGTGAGTATAATATGATCAGATTAAATGAAAAATCATTGGAACGCTGAGAAGGCAGATCCTCCCCTGAATAGAATACTTTTCTAGCCTTTCAATGCTCACTTTATGTCTAATAACTAAAAAAATTTGCACAAAATGTTTGTGTATTAATTTTGTTTTGAAATGCTACATTATCACTTTATCATATTATGAATAAAAAATGTTTTTTATAGATAACTCATAAGTAAATGTACGATTTAATGCTTTTTGATTATTTTCTGGTATTTAATAATATTATATAGATTTCCCTTGGCTCTTTTTGATTTGTAATTTAGAATACAACACTGGTGGAGATTAACAATGTATGTAAATTACTTACAAACCTAGCTAACTGCTTAATTTTATTTAATTTTGATATTTCCACAATAACAAATTTTATAAATAAATTAAAATGAAATTTTTTTTCGAAAATATCTGAAAAGATTTTGACATTTGAGTCGTTGCCAGGATCTGATCTCACTCCTTTGTAAATTAGAGATACATTCTATCTGCTAGTAAAGGTTCTATAGCTTCTCTTAAAACACCATTAAATGCTTTAAAGGTTTAACTACTTCAGTTGTTAAAGAGGAAGAGAACATTAGGGCTCACCTCCGTGCTTACTCTGCTCCAGTAGTACATCATCGTGAAAGAGTTAATATAAAATTAATGTATAATCTGCTAAAAACAAAGCAACATAAATTAATATGGCTGTTAATGATAGTATGTGTATCTGAACAATGCCGGTTTCACAATGTCACTTGAATAGTATCTGGTTTAAAGCTGTAAAATGTCACTTGAATAGTATCTGGTTTAAAGCTGTAAGTATATCTTGTTACAATAGTTTCTTGGTGAGCTTTTTATTGAAAAAAAAAACACTTTTAAATGAATGCCGCATCACCTCAGATGTGTCCTGAGAACTTAATAAAATTAGTGAACTAATTCGTACAAATAGAATTAATCAGAACAACTAACTAAACCAGATTTCTGTCAGTAATTTGATGATAATAGAGTAATAATTGTTTAAGAATGAAAAATAACTATTTCTAAAGTATAAAAAGAAAGAATAATTTCCTGTTACCAAGAGGCATTATTTAAATGATGTAAAAACTCTCCGCAAGTTATTACAAAATGGTTTATTGTTTCCAAATAGTTCTACACATAAAAACGCCATCTATATTTTTGTTATTTGCAAATCAAATTTAGCGTTCATTGTAACTTTTTTTTCGGCTTTGTTTTGGAGAAAAATATATACATAAACTTAAATGGTTTCAGGGAGAATAGGTGTTGCATCAAAATTGTGACAGGTGTTTTAGTACAACCAACAGTCAATTGAAACAGAAGTTTTCCAACCATCATTTGGAAATGAAACAGTGGATGGTTATGTCAAATTCCGAGAATCATCCAAGAGTGAACTGTGACTTTTTTTGGCAAATTTAAAAAATAAATTCATGTTATTTTGAAATTGTACAAATGGTGAACCTCAAATTTTCTTGGTTAGTTATAAAGGCTCATTATTTTCAATAATAAACAAAAAAAAGTTTTATGTTCCCATATTATTGCACTTAAGGTGACTACCAACGATCATTTAATAACAACCACTCCATGTCATTGAGAACAAAACATGGGATAGATGGGATGCACAGTTTTTACACTATCTATAATTAGGTAGGCAGGAGAGTCAACTATCCCACAAATAATATTTGCCTTAAAAATCATGAGAGTCGATCTTGGTGTTAAGGTAATCCTCAGTATTATTGTAGCTGATTAGTTAATTATATCCTTGAATGATATAACGAATAACAAAATAAAATAAAAGATATGCCTTCAGTATAATGTTGTAGTAAATTCTGAAATATTAATTAATAAACTAAATATTGAAGGAATGTATCTTCTAAATGGAAAGAAAGTATTTTAAATTTGTATTTAACTAAGTTTATCAGGAAAAAAATAACCTAATATAAAATGTAAATTTCTTCAAATGACAGAAAAGTGTGAAAAGAGTTACAAGAAAAACATAAAACTTATAGAATAGATTACTTACAAGTCTTCATTTCCCTGCCAAAGTATCTTTCCTGTATCTGCATCCCTAAGGTTCATCCAGTTTCTGATTCAACATGTAAAGAAAACAACATTATGGGGATTTGAAAGAAAGAAAAAAAAAAATGTAAAATTTATCATTTGAGGACTTTACACCAATAACATGTTAAACTCCAAAACAAACAAAAAATGAGTTAGACAATTTTAAGCCACTGCCAACAACCTAAAACCAGCTAAGTATTATTACCAAAAATAAAGAAAATCAAAATTTGGCCAATTCTTTTGATTGTTGGAAATGACATTTGGATGGTCTAAAATTATCTCAATTAATTTTTTTAGCTTGACACTTAGTCTGTTAAAGATCTTTAACCTTCATTTATACAGACTTTTCATAAATAGATTTAAATCAACACTTGATAAAAGCTTGCATCTCATTTTACCAATAAACTTTACAATCATATTTAATGATATACAATTTTAAAGGTGATTCTTTCAAAGTGTCACTCTTATATGAAGGGTAGCACAAGATCAAACGGCTGAATGTGCCTGAAAGTTAAAGGAAGCAACCTATCCCCAGATTCTCTTTCCTTATAAGTAAAGGTAACATACATAACTTTGAGATACCATGTAAACAATGTTTTAAATTACACTCAAGTCTCTTATTATGAATATATAAATATAATTCACAATAAATAAAACAGGAAGCAGCATATGATTTCCGTCCAATTTCCCTGTTGTCTAACCTTTCCAAACCTTTAGAATGAATAGTACAATACCAATATCTCGAACAAAATAACCATTTGGACTGCTTCCAGTCTGGTTTTAGACCTGACCACTCCCCTCATTCCGCCCTCATTAAAATCTCCCAAGATCTCCACACTGCCATAGACAAACAGAAACTCACCATCCTGATCCTTTGATTTCTCTAAAGCATTCGACTCAGTTGACCATAATATCCCCCTAACCAAACTTAAAAATATTTCCTTATCCATCTACCAGATCCCGTACGTCCGACCTCTAAATTCCTCCTCCTCACCGAACTGCTGCATTTGACAAATCATTTTTAATTCAAGTTTTCTCCCTCTGGAACTCTATACACTTAGATATTCAACACACAATGTCAGTATCCTCTTTCAAATCTCTCCTCTTCAAACACCTACTCCATTCCCAATCCAATCGATCATGAAATGCACTAAAAAATCTAAGCTGTAAGAATTTCAAAGTACAGCCAGATACTTTTGATTATTTTGTGATTCATTGATATTTTGTTTACTTAATTTACTTTCTCTATTTATTTTATATTTATACACATTTTTATATCTTTTTATTATCTATAATTTTATTTTATTCCTAATCATTCTGTAAATATTTAATTGAATTTTGTGGACAAACCAGAATATTAATGTATGTTCTGTACTTGTAACTTGTTCTGAAGGGACACTAGGCCCAGAATAATAAAATTATTTTCATTCATTCATATGCATTAGGTCCACAGGCAATTTCACTACTTTTTTTTTTTGTATCCAAGTACCTATTTACATTTCTTATTCTTAGAGGTGTTTCTTCACTACTCCACATCCCTTTAAATTGCATGTCATTGTGTTTCTTGTAACAATTTATTAAAAAACAGCCAATCTTCCCACAAAAAAAAGTGAATGCACTGCCCCAAAATGGCGTTCTGACGACTTTGACTTTAGTTAGTTTTTTGGTCACTGAGTCAGAATTTGGCTTAATTTCATCATAGCTGGTCTTTTATTAAAGCTGGGTAGTCAGGTAATAATAAAACATGAAAAAATAATTGGCTTAAGCAATAAAAAACACCAGTAAAGTAAATTTTTTTAACAAAAAAATTTTCAAGGCGAAAATCAAGTGCCGTTTGTAATTAAATGGTCAACAATAGCGTAAAAGGTACTGAAATAAAACATGTGGGGAATATATTTTTCTATTTCTAGTTTTTACGATTCTTGAGTGGAATCTCTTTGGTACACTAAACAGGAATGAATCTCGATGGGTATTACATTTTCTAGTATCTCCTTTCTTGTAAAGGGAGTAGACTACAGTCTTTCATATCACTTTCTAATACATTTGCTGCCTATGTACACACAACGGTTCGGTTTATTTTGTCCAGAAGTATCTTCACCATAATAAACCTGCATCATTCCCTTAATATCATCCAAACTGCTCCAGCATTTGACCCCCTTTTAGCAGGATAGCATCTTGGCATATTCTGTTCATTTGTCAAATCTATATTTGTTTAGCTATATAATGGATACTAGTACTTGTTTTCTTTTCCGTGATTTTGGCAATTCCCTTCTCAGTCGCTTAATGGATATTTCCAATTTTTGGGTTAAATTTCAAGTTTTCCCTCATTTTGAGATCAAATATAGCTTCGCCCTTTCCATCTTTCTTTGTGCAGAGAGAATAATGCGTTCAATATTATAATTTCCTATTTTTTTTTATGAAATGGTTCAACTTCTCTTCAAAATAAAGGAAATAAAAATTAATTATTTTATTAGTGATATATCAGTTTTACTAAACAATCCATCAACTATTTATTATTATTAGTTCATAAAACAGGTATTAATATGACTCATTTCTGGGGAAGTATATACAATTTAAATTATCGCTAAGAATCAGTAAATATACAAAACAAAGTATTAAATAAAAAAAATCAAGATATTCAGCAAAGTATTTTTGAATTAAGTTTTATTATTATAATTATATTATTTTTACAATAGAGACCTTCTTAAACTACTTCTGTATAGAATAAAGGAAGTTAAATTTAAAAAAATAAATGCCAGTACAGGCCATTCTGTCGTTTAAGTGCATTTTCTACGGAACTGCTTAAAATATTTTAAAAAGAAAAATATACTCTCCAGATGTTTTATTGCAGCATGTTTTGCATTATTGTTGTCCTTTTAATTACAAACAATGCTTGATTTTCAACTTGAAATTTCAACTCTACTGGTGTTGTTTAGTTTCACTTACCTTTAAATGTAATACATAGTAAGGGTAGTTTTGTGTTCATGAAAATTTTCGAGTCTGAGTTTTCAACAGAAATACATGTTTTGAGGTATCCTGAGTCCAAATAACCAAGTCCCGGAAAATGGTCTGTGTGAATGTGAACACTCTAGCTCGAAAACGAAAAGTCGTATGAGACTGATATTACGTATTTAAGATAGGTATATCCCTTAGATGTCTTACCAACGTTTTTCTTAAAATTGGTTAACTGGTAGTGCCACTTTATATCAACGCTAAAACACATTTTTACAATTATCTCAAAAGGGCTCTAACGATTTTGATTAAACTCGGTGTATCATTGTATAATAAAGTGGTCTTTAATATTATTTAGGTCTTATCCCAGTTGATGTCATCTTACAGGACTTAAATGCCCAATGTTCATTTCAAATAATTAACTATCTCTCATTATTAAAAAATGCTAATATAACTTTTGAAAGAATTTGATAATTGAATAAAGGAGAAAAAAAATATATATTTTTTTTCCATACACCTAAGTAACGCCTGCTTCTTCAGTCATGCGTACTCTTTCAGTCCAATATAGTTTTGCTCTCTTAGCATAGGGGCTGTCCATTTCATTAAAGGAACATCTTATGTCCTGTAATGCAGGGAAAAATAAATAAAAATGCTTATCCAGGTCGAAAATGAATCTCCGAAAATATTAGTCAGAAGGTATAGGGTATAATATATCGTTGGAAAGCAGAGAATTTTAGAAAAAACAATATCTAATATAGAAAGTTGTAGAAGATAATGGAGAGTGGAAACAAAATTATAAATAATAATTTTTGAAAACTAATAATATTTAACATAAATCACTTGTTTTCAAGGAAATTAAATGAAATTTACTAACTAAATGTAACCTTTTAAGATATTTTTAAGTTTGAAAAAAGTATTTAAAATCCACCTAATCAAGGCAATGACATTATTTAAAAAACTATTTCATTGTACTTGTGTGAAAGAAGAAGTAAAATATAAAATCATTTCATGAATGTATAAAGCATATGTTTATAACCTTAAATGCATTTATTTTAGTTTAATAATTCTAGATCTGATATTATATTTATATAATTAGTTATCATTGTCTGTTTATTCCGAAATATTGTCATGTAACTTTTTAGAAAATTAAATTAGTGAATAATTTGATGAATATTTCCTTTGTGATATTCCAACAGTATCCAATACTATTTCATTGTACTTGTGTGAAAGAAAAAGTGAAGTATAAAAATATTTCATATATGCGTTTATAACCTTAACTATGTTTACTATAGTTTAATAACTCTAGATGTGGTTTTATTTAAATATTTAAGTATCTATAGTCCGTTTATTCTGAAAAATCATCATGTAACCTTTTAGAAAATTAAATTAGTGAATAGTTTGATGAAATTTCCTTTCATGATATTCCAACAGTCTCCACTTACAATTACTGTGACAACTTTTGACCAGTCTATGACAGACAATCCAAATCTCTTAATTCTGTTTAACTAAACTTTGCAATGGAAAATAATAATTTAATAAATAATAGTCGTACAATCCATAATCAACAGAATGTTCAATCCATAATCAACCGGTGATAATAAATAGAACTTTTGTTATTTTAATGGTATTTATGATTTGTTAGCTATAATTTTTTAGCTTTAGCTCAGTTAAAAATTTTTATAATAGTCCAACATGGTCAGAAAATAATTTCTATGCAAAGTTGAGCGGTAAGCGAAAGTTGTGTGTTGCGCATACCAGATTTTTTAATGTTTTATTATTCTCTGACTATCCAGATTTAATAAAAGACCACCTATGACGAAATTAAGCCAAATACTATCTCAGTGACCAAAAAACTAACTAAAGTCAAAATCCTCAGTTTGCCATTTGGGGGCAGTGCGTTCATGATATGCAATTTATAAGTATGTGGGAAGGGGGGTGCATGGTAGGGGGGTCTGGCACACAGACTATAAGCTACATGTTACATTACAAGCCTTTAATGGATGTGTTAATTAGGATAGTTAGTAATTAAAATCATTGATGTTCGAATTAGATCATGAAGGTCAGAATTCGCAACATTCACCCAAGGAATAAACTAATACCCAAGCATCCTTTCAGTTCAAGTTAGGTATCGTAGGAAGCAGAGCTATTTGTAAGAAGAGAGCGGGATTAAGCCCAATAGTTATGATCTGAGCAATAATAATTTTAGTAACCTTGTACAATACCAGGAATTGATGCCTCAATTAATTCAGATCAGTTGCCTTGCCTAATTTTAGGATGTGTTCATGGTATAACCTCGCTTTATTAAGATCAGATTATAAAACTTCGGTTAACTAGTCCTTCTGAGTTAAAAGAAAAAGTTGATTACATCAAATCTTTTATCTGCGTTCACTCACGTTTAAAGATCAACGAACCCCATACAGGGCCTTATAGATGGTTTAGTCATCTCTGTATACTTCCAGACACACTTAGCCATTCTTGTGCCACCGATAGAAATGAAGCAACACTTATATAGTAGTAATAAACAACCATTATGAACATTTGAAATATTTAATTTTAGAGCAACTCGTTATGACCATGCAGATGTTGGTTAATAGGTGCAAACATTTCTAACTCATAAAAAAAAATATGATAAATTAATAATAAATAAATACTTCAGTACCATATTTAATGATATTGCAAAAATCTAGCAAATCAGTCTATTTATAAAACAATGACATGTATTTATTATAAAAATTAAGAGACAACTTAAATCTTTTAATCATTCAGAAATCTAAGTGTTACAATATCATTAGGATGACCATATCCAAATAAAGTGAAGGTGAGGAATAAAATAAAAGATGGCTAAAATTTAAGAAATACTTGTTTTTAATAAACTATTGTGCAACAAAATGTCATTCTTACAAGCATTACAATAGAATTGAAAACATAACAGGCAGGTACTCATTACTACTGTGTGCCTTAACACTTTTACAAACAAAAACATTATAGAGATAAATGTTAAAAAGAAATACATACACTTGAAAACCACTTAAAATTTCCTGAGCTCTTTTGTCTCGCTCTCCTTCTCTATCTTGTGTATCTATGTCCATAATGAAACAGGTCATGACGGACACATTTAAGAACACTTATTCAAAGAAATATAATTTAAACTCGCCAAACAATCATTACTCGCTTTTAAACCAAGTTTCGGTACGAGGAACGGTAAAAAAAACAATAGGTACACATTACAAAAATCCAGTAAAATCACTATGTAACACAAAACAAACCTAAATGAAACTTAAGCCAATAAAACTCATAAAACTACGAAAAAAAGTCCCATGTTGTTACCATGTAATATTAAAAACGGTTTAAAGTCACGTTGTGAACAATCGATATACTGTTAAATACTACACGATGCACTCCCTCTCCTCTGTTAAATACTACACGATGCACTCTCTCTCGTCTGTTAAATACTACACAATGCACTCCCTCTCCTTTGTTAAATACTACACAATGCACTTTCTCTCCTGAGTGACATGAAATACATAACAATTGCTTAGATGGTGCCACTGTCGTTTATATGTTTGATTTTCATAGTATATTGTTGTTAAAATTTAATTACTTTTACAAGCGACTAACAGTGATTCTTATAAAAAAAAAACAAAAAAAAAAAAACATCATTATAGTGAGGGTATTAATTGTAAAAAGACTTAACAGCCAATTACCCAATTTTAAATCAATGTTAGTTAAAATAACAGTTAATAGAGAGTGTCAATCTCATTGGGTTACGGCTTAATAATAAATATGATAAATTAATAATAAATAAATACTTCTGTACCATATTTAATGATATAGCAAAAATCTAGCAAATCAGTCTATTTATAAAACAATGACATGTATTTATTATAAAAATTAAGAGACAACTTAAATCTTTTACTCATTCAGAAATCTCAAAGTGTTACAATATCATTAGGATGACCACATCCAAATAAAGTGAAGGTGAGGAATAAAATAAAAGATGGCTAAAATTTAAGAAATACTTTTTTTTAATAAACTATTGTGCAACAAACAAATACAGTGTGGTCACACGGATGGGGCGGCCATATTGGATCGGCGGGAAACTAATATTTGAATAGTCTCTCTTTGTTATTTCAATTTAAAAAGTAATTATTGTGAGGGTGCAATTCTATCTCCCAAACTATTAACTAGAATGGTTTGGGAGATAGAATTGAAGTTGGGCAAGTTGAATGAAGCATATGAATCACTTATATCTCGCGAAAATAAATAATAAAATCAAAGAACAATATTGTTTTTTTTTCCTATTTAACTATTTTTAAAATATATTCCAATAAACTTCCGCATATTTCGATTTCTATTTTATTCATCTACCTCTCTCATTGGCAAATTTTACAAACATATTTATATAATTATTAAAACATTAAACAAAAACTGAGTGAAAATTAAATTTCATTGGAAAACCAGAAACTCAATTTTAAGACAGCAATCATGAAACTTTTTTATTTTCTTCTTAATATTCTCCTTTGAAAAAAAACAAAACTTTAAATAAATGTAAATTTAATAAAAATACATTATTTAATGTAAATTTAATAAATATAATTTATTTATTTTTACTTTGTTACTTGTGACTGAACACCACACTAGTGTTGCCCAAATGTGAGACCATGATGGGTTTGGTCTTGTACAAGTCTCGCAACAGTCTTCCAGTTACCTATTAGCTTATTATTATAGAGATATTACTGTAATTTTTCAGATATGGGAATCCTAATTAAGCCCAAATGAAAAATTGTGTTAAATTCCAAAGGATATTGGTTTTACCAACTTTTTACATATAGTAACTAAATTTTCAAGTTTTAGTGACTATTTTACCTTAATTTGTTTTGATAAAAAAAGTTCTTTTTTTGCAAAGTGCAAGACAAAGACCGATTTTGGACAACACTAACCATTTAAACAAATTAAAATAGTTCAAAATTTGATCCTTGATCAATAGATTCATTTCTGATCATTGATATGAAGTATTTTTTATGGAATGGTTTATCTTTTACCATAATGTAGATATTGTATATTGCATCCAAAGTAGGAAAACAATTGATCATTTTTCTTTTAAGCCTGTAAAAGGTAGCAGGAGAGTATTTGTTTCGGAGTGATATAACTTAGTTTTTGTATAATGTGAAAATTTCTATTTACCAATCAATATCAATATACCTGTTATCAATGAAATGGGTTAATAATCATGATAAATTGTAATAATTTGTGTCACACCTGAATTTTCCATAAGTCCAGAATCTAAGCTTTCCCTTGTTTTATTTATTTTTCATTACTTTTTTGGAAAATTTGAGATTGTTGGCTATAATATATTTTCAATTTTATCACACAGGATATACCAAGTAAAAATAACTAATAGTGAAACATAAAACTATAAGGATAAATTACAATCAATTATCAATTGATTGAAGAACTATCCAATTTAACTTAAAAAAGAAAACATTATTAATCAACAAACGAATATAAAAAACAAAACAAAAGATAAAACAGAGAATATTTATTTATTTACAAAGGAATTTAAATTTATAAATGCTGCACACATACATTTACTGCTAAAAACAGACATATGAGGGAAATTCTTTTTCCTAAGTCTAAATACAATAAACCTCTTAATAATACTATCTTTAACATTTTGACAATTAATTATGTGTTCTTCATCAACAGAACTCATTTTTCCCTATGAAAAATCCTCTTAAATTACCTCTTACTGAGTTGATTTGGCTCATATAGGTTTCGAAAATGACTTAATCCTTTTATTTGTTACTTTATTTAATCGATTTTCATTTGTAATTCAGTGGTTATGAAAGAAAAGGATGGAAATTAAGTTCAAAACTTGGTTATAGAAGATATTTTTATAGTTTGAGGCTATTAGCTGAAACAATTTTTATTTTGAAGTCAGTGGTTTCAAGTATAAAATTGAAATTTGATTTCCCTTTATAGTTATTGTTACTTTCAATAATAAAAATATGAGTGTAGTTAATGATCCTTAAATCATAGTTGAATTGAGTATAGTTTATGTTCCTTAAATGATAAAAATTATCTTGAATAAACATTAACAGTTTTAGAATTTCAATAATAAGAAAGGTAAGAATTTCATTTCAGAACTTTTGCAGTACAACAATCTATTTCTTAAAAAATCAATCATGATGAGTATCATACCACTTATTCTTCATATAACTAAGTTTCAAACTTGATTTCCATCTTTTTCTTTCATTACCACTGAATTAAAAAGGAAAATTAATAAAATAAAGTAAAGAATTAAAGTATTCTCACGATTTTAAACTATGAAGAAACTAAATTTATCACTTTGAATACTAATATGTATAACTATTAAATAAAAACTACCTATTAGTAAACTAAATTTATTACTAAAACAATACAATTAAACTTTTAAATAAAATAAGCCTGTAAAGATGAAACCTATCACTGAACATGAAACCAAAACTATCACTTTAAACCTTAAAACTATTCAATGAAAACTACCTATTAATAAACTTAAACCTATCTCTTAAACAACAAAATTAAGCTTCTAAACTAAAATACTACTAATAAAATATGAAAATTTAACAGTTTTGAGGTGCATAATAGAGCAAGCAGATAGCAAGGGATGATCCAAGATGGCCAATCAATCAAAAAGTGGCTCCATATGACCCCACTGTATTATTAAGCCACTGTACATTGGGTGGTTGGTACAGAAATTTATTTAGACTAACTAACTATTTAAGTTGTTTTATTTAGCTGATGAATTTTGTAATTATTCTTTAAAAGTTTATAGTAATTATTATTAATTAATAAATATATTAATTATTGAATACATTTTCTAACGAATGATTCTTTGCAGACTATTTTTTAAGTTTTTAAATATTCTTCTACTTATTAACTAATATTCTATTTCATTAACAGGTCTGGTACATATGTATATTTGTTATTCCTATGATCAGGGTAGTTGGGGTTAGACATCTGTTTTTGTCAATATTCAGAGACATACCATTTCAAAGATAAACAGAAGGATATCTGTCAGTTTGTGTAGTTAACAAACAATTTTGTTATCCATGAAGAATAGAAGCTCAATATAAATGTTTAATCCTCTTTAAAATTTTCTCTCAAATTAACTTTAACACCTATTTTTTTCATTATTATTCATCATGATTCCTGGAGGTGTTTATCATTTCACTGATAATGCTACTTCTGAAAGTTCTAATGTTCCTGTTGATACATCACACGCTAGAAATCCTTTACTTTGTTATATTTGCAAAGATTACTTTTCTGAACCATGTCTTCTTTCTTGTTACCACACATTTTGTTCAAGATGTCTACAGAATAAATCAGTCGATAACAAAATAAGCTGCCCCACTTGTGGGTAAGCATTGGAATTTTCTTCTGGAATTTCATTTTATGTTGAACTTGCTTTTTACATTAATTTTTATCAAAATTTCAGATCTAGTACAGCAATGAAAGACAATTGCCTTCTTCCTCCACCAGATACTGTGATGCGGCATCTGATTGATTTAGCTAATACTGATAATCCTCCTTGCTCAAATTGTGACAAACGGGATAGGCCATCCATGTTTTTCTGCAATACATGTGGTATTTTACATCTATAATAATCATTAAAATTTAAGATAATAATGATCTTTTTTTAAAATTGTTATTTAAAATGTTCTGCTTTTTATTTATTTATTTTATTTTTTTCAGTGTTCGTGAATATGTTGAGTTTATTTCTTTTGGCAATGGAATATTAACTTATCTAGGATTTTTTTTTAAGGTTCTCTTTATACTTTTTTTTTATTTCTTATTTTATTTTAGTTTTAAGTTAGATTTTCCAATTATCATTATTTAATTCTGTAAGTTATATTTTGTTCTCTTCAATTTTTTTTCATGATTGAATTAATTCTTTTATAAAAAATAAAATATAAATAACATATTTATTAATTATTAGAGGGGTTCACACTGTCTGTCTAAAGGCGTATCAAACCCCCATTTTACAACTGTTCATTTAATTTTACTATTCATTGCTGAAATTGTATAACTTTAATTTACATTATTCTGTAGTTGAGATGAAATTATTTTTTATCAACATAAAATAAACTGAATGAAACACGAATTCGCAAAAATTTTAATTTCTTTAAAAATATATATTATACTTGAGCCTTATTGCCAATTTATTTTATTATATAATTATAATAATTCCGTAGATTTCTAAAAATCTGTAAGTGCTTGACATTCTTTGAAAGAGTTTGTCAAAACATCAACTTGTCAAAATGCATATTACCACCAGAAATTTTCAAAATTTTCCAAAGATTTTTTGTGGAGTTAAAAGGTGATCCAGGACCTCTCAGTCTAGCTTGTCCCAAACCAGCTAAGTTGGATTGAGGTCTGGAGACTGAGCTGGCCAAATCATCATGAAGACCAAAATCTATCAATGTGAATTGAATGAGGGAAAAATAATCGTGGGTTAGCTCAATAGTGGGTAAAGGCTATGATCTTCCTGATTAACTTCCGATATATTTAAAGTCTATTTTAGAAACTGAAACCAACTAATGATCAATTTTATCCTGGAAAAACTCATCAAAAAATTATTTAGAATTGAATTAAATTATTATGCAATGTTTAGAATCTAGATCTGTTCTGTCTTAAAGGGCTTCCTTATATGCTCGGGATATCATAAACCCCTGAAGAAATATCATAAAGGGTGAAACAGTTGGTAAACTTCTGTAGAGTGATTTTCATAGAAAATAATTTTCTTTTTATGAATTATATTTCCATTCAGTTTATTAAATTGTATTTCCGTACAGTTTATTAAATTGTATTTCTATAAATGATATTTTTGTTTTTTCCTACTCCTATCAATGTTGTATTTTTAACATTGGTTGAATTTGACCATTTTGCCATTACATCCAGAACTACCATAAAGTTTTCCTCTGTAGAGGGCACAGCTTGTAATATTGGCTGAAACTCAACTAAAGGATTTGAAGGTAAGTATGGCGTTAACAATAACTTTTCCGGAGTTTGTATTGAAAGATGTTCTAAAACTGCTTGGAATGTTAATAAAAGGCCCACATAGAAATTCTAAGCATGTTCTTTGGTGCTCTGACTGTAAATGATAAATAGACCTTTACAATATTTTAAAAAAATTAGACCTTTTATTTCATTTTTAGGAGAAAATATCCTTGCTCCATATCACATCACATTGTTGGAAATCCCAATTGAGTATTTTAAAATTATGATTAAGTCCAAATTACCATTTATACATTTATATTATCTTGAATTCCTACTTTTCAATAGGAATAAATTGAACAGCTTCTGAAACCATATTTTGTATATGAAAATAATTTGATAACTTTATTACTGTATTTATATTCACTATTTGTAAAAATATATCACTTTTTATTTGACTGCAGCTTTATTTATTTTTATGGATAAAATAGTCAACAGTCAACTACATACCCATCTCTAATTTATTTATTTTTAAAATTTTGATTTCAGGTCAAGCATTATGCCCTTCATGTCGAGAAAATACACATAGAGCTAAAATGTTTTCAACTCATGAGGTTATACCCATGTCCAAATGTGCAAAAGATGGCTACAGAAGAGTAATATATTATTTTTTAATTTGAAATATCATATTTAAATATTGGAAATATTTTATTTTAGAAACATAATGCTTTTGTTAATTATCTTCCAGTGCCCAGTTCATGGAGAACAGTACATAATGTTTTCTAATTCACAGAGGTCAATGCTATGTGTGAATTGTTTTAGAGATACTCCAGCAGAAGCTAGGCTTCATTGTGTTGACATTGACACAGCTTATTCACAAGCCTGTAAAAACCTAGAAAGGTCTTTGATGGTAAGTTAGGTTATTCCTGCTAATATGGTCATTGGAAAAGTTTTTATTTAAGTTAATTGCTATGTTGTTTTCAACTCATTCTCATATCTAAAAGTTCTAAACATTGATTATGAAGGTAAGATGATAGTAAATCAGTTTTTTTTTTTTTTTTTATGAAAGTGAATGTTTTGTAAATGTGCTTTTATGATATATGTATACATTAACGTTTTTAAAGAATAAAAATAATCCGTTGATATATCATTTATCAATGGTGAAAAAGTGAATCCTGACCAGGGATTCATATGCTTGTTCAATTTATTTTCATATAGTTTAGCACCCATTATTCTGTTCTCAATACTTTAAATCATTTTTTATTTATAGTATTGATTTCTGAGTCTGTGATTTAAAAAAAAAAAATGATGTTCCAGTCTTTAAGCAAATAACTTTTTATTGTTTGATCAATATAAAATTTCGTATTCTATAGAGTTTTTTGATATGTGAAAAACGAATATCAACTTCTTTTCTTTCTAAAAAAAATAATTATCCCCACCTTGCACTATTGGTTGGTGCAATTTGTTTTAATATTGTACTCACACTATACGCATTTGCCAAATATAATATTATTTCTAAACTGGTCAGGTATCTAGATTGAAGATTAATTACACACCTAATATATTGCTCCTATTTGGTCTAAAATGAAGAATATTGCATGTATATACTATATAGACGCTCTTTCAAAAACTTTGATCTGAAGGTGAAAATTTTGAGCAATAATCATTATTTTTTTATTGCTACAAAAATTCATAATTATAGATGTTTGAGATGTGAAATATGAATACTATCTTTATTTCTCTCTAAAAAACCATTCAATAGAATCTGGAGGCGCGTATCATGTATAACATCTATAATAAACATATTATTCTTGTTCAAAATGCAACATGCTTGGGTCATGAAATACCTGCCTGGTTTTAAAAAAATATTATATTTGGCAGATATCAATAAGTATGATCATAATTTTTAAACAATTGTATGGTTGCAATGTAAATATTTTTTTAAGGAGATTTTTTAAAAATTTATTTATTTAGAAATATAATAATCTGTCACATGAACAATAATTATAGTGATATATGAACGCATTCACACCATATATACAGAAAATATAAAATTAACAAAAGTATAATAATAAGTAAATAATAATCAAAAACTACAAAAAAAAAAAAAAATAAAATAACCTAAAGATAAGTAAATTAAAAACATAAAAACCCAGTCATATCTATATACAATCAGGCAGGGAACCACAAGCCAGGCTTCACCCTCCAACTATAGAAGGAAAAGCAGGACTCCAAGAGATCCCTATGCTACCCTCTCAATCCCATCACTGGTGTTAAAAAAGCCAGTAATACTTACCTGGCGTGGGGTTTACCGTGATCACTAAGGAGAAATAAAGTTAATATTTGCTTCTTGGTTCTTGAAGTACTCTTATATATGAATTTTTATCAGCAATTGAAAAATAAACATTTTTTTGCCTAGGTGTTATCTTTTTTGTCTTTCATGTTTATTTAAATTGTGATACATTAAAATAACTCCACCAATCTATACTAAACTTGCCAGGAATTTAGAGTCCTATAAGGTACAGAAAAAAAAAAAAAAAAAACCCTGACCTATGTAAACGAATTAGACTTAAAATAAAAAATGTTTCAAAAGTTTCTAGCTTATATATGTATAAAATCTACGTTATTGATATAGGATTGAAAAGCATTAATTCGGCTTTTCAACTGTTGTATTAACATTAAATTTGGAGAACATTCCGGAGGAGGTATGAATGATTTAGTTAACAGACAGAAAAAATCCTAGAGAATCAAATACTAAAATTTATATTTTTGTGGTTTCCATAAAAATTCATATTTAACTTCTACTTTTCTTATTTACCAGAAGGGTCTTTTGGTTTTTGTAATTTATGGTAAATTTGAATTCATTTAATATTATTAGCAATATTTTTTCGTATTCTACACAAAATAAGAAATTGATTGGTATATAATAAGCTTGAATCTGGCCAAAGCAAAAGCAATAAAAAATGAACTAATAAAATAATTTTTTTGAAAATTGATGGTCTATTGACCGACCCCCTCTTGTAAGTAGGGTGGCATATGAAATTTGTGTAAAACCATAAGAACGATAGTTTACAGTCCCAACCTCAAGTATTTACTTTAGATGTAGAGTTCCTCTATCACTTTTTCTATGAAGAGAAAAGCATTGACCAGCTTTATTTTAATTTCCTTTTGATCATTAAATAAATAAATTTGTTTTACTGCATATGAAATCTACTATTAGAGAATATGGAGTATTAATGATTGTATGAATTTTTTTTGATTTATTAGAGTGTTCGAGAGATTCAGGGGCTTGTTAGAAGTGGAGTGGTATCTTGTCGAACTCTTTTAGAAGAACTCCATCATAATACTAATACTGAAAAATCTACAATACATTCATTTTGTCAAGGAATGCAAGATGTCATTACAAAAACTCAGGGAGCTATGCTTCTTGAGGTTCAGAGGTAATGTTTTTCTTCGAATCACCTGTTATTAATTTTTTTTATTACTTCAGCCATCATATACTAATCAGTTTTTTTATTTTATTTTTATTTTTTTCAGGCAATATGAAAGCAAAGAAAGAGTTTTGCATTCACAATTGATGTCCCTTAGTGGTGTTATTCCAATCTTACAGAATCATCTACTACTCTGCCATACCTTCTCAAGTATGGCTACTAAATTTCAGTTTCTTGATCTTGTTTATCCTATGATTGACCGACTCACTTCAGTATCTCAACTGACCCAGCCTATCAGGTGTAATTTAGCTTAAAAATTAATTAATTCTAAATAAAGATATGAAACAGCTTAATTATTTTTGAGAAGGAGTTAGTTGAGGGTGCGGTCAAATAAATAAAAAAAATTAAAATATATAAATAATTTTAATTTTTGCCGACGTTTCGACCCACTTTGCAGGTCGTCTTCAGGGCGTTGGATGTGGCACTGCGGGAGGCAGTTGAAACAGTGTTTCAACTGCCTCCCGCAGTGCCACATCCAACGCCCTGAAGACGATCTGCAAAGTGGGTCGAAACGTCGGCAAAAATTAAAATTATTTATATATTTTAATTTTTTTTATTTATTTGACCGCACCCTCAACTAACTCCTTCTCATATCATATCAACGGTCAACCATCTCTACATCCTTAATTATTTTTGTTGATAAAAAATAATTTGTTGTTATATTTAATGAATAGGCCTCTACAAACCAGCCAGATAAGAACCAACTATAAATCTGAATTTGCCCAAAGTTTAGAGCCTTGGATAGGAAAACCTCTTCCACCGATCCCCACATCTCAATCTCAAAGTATATTTCTTTTAAATCTTAAATTACTATTTTTTTAATCCCTTATTTAAGAAACCTTTAAGAAGTCAAAATGTTATGTAGGTGGCTCTGCAACTGATATTGGACAATCTTCACAACAAGCAAAACAAATTCCCAAACTGAAACCTGTTGATGAAGGACAATTTACTAACCATTGCCGATCTTTTGAGAATCAAATGAAGGTATTAAATTAACTCATATTAAGACAAAATTCATTCTAAATAATGAACTTAATTATAGTTATTTTTATATAATCAATTATTTGATTAATTTTTGTGTTATTGGAAAAATACATACTACTCTACATTTTAAGTGGTAACACATTGAAAAATCATCATATTATTTACTTACGTACTCATTCAACGTCCTACTTTCCCACACAATATTTCTACATATTATGAGGAATACAATCAAGGAAACATTAGTAAAATAATAAAACAATTTCAAACATAAATTTAAAAAATCTTCGTAACTTCTAAATTGAAAATCTCTCAATATAACATTATATTTCAACTTCATAAGTTTATTAACATCATGTAGGGCCAACGTTGGCCTGAACCACAGCTTCCACTCTTCTTGGCATAACATTCAATAATGCATTTCTACATTAATTGCTGTTACAGTTTCATCATGGCCTGTCACTTTGAACCTGTTGTTTTGTTTTTTTCTGATTTAATCATTAGTTTTAATTTTTGACCTTTGAGGTCTAACTAACCCCACTCTTCTTACTGAGACAAATACTTCATGAATTTACCTATTTCAATGCTTTGACTTTCTACGTGTGAACATTACTTGGGTGCTGAAATGAGCCCTATCTTTTTTATCTTTATATCTTCTTTTGATGAGTTCCCATTGCATTTATGTTTATTATGTATGTATACGTAGGATGGTATTGATAACCTGAATATCTAGATTGCATGGCCTGTTCAGATTATAAAAATATTCGGATTATCAAAGGTTAAATTTTAAATGATGGAATGTAATGAAAATATATGTATTATCAGTTAAATATGAACACATTGCAAACAAAAAAATTATTTCTGAAAACGATCATATAATGTTTTTATAATCATATATCAATATATTTTTTATAAACATATATCAGTTTGTATAGTCATTAATATTTTTTGTACAATCATCTAATTTTATTGCAAAAAAAAAGTCTGATCTCGCAAATTTCTTAAAAGTACCAGATTCCCCTACTCAACATTGTATCCATTTAGCCACTCCAAATACTTATTAAATGACTTTTTGTCATTTCTATGACTTATCTATTATGAAAAAAAAAGTGAGCCCAAAGAAATTTTACCGTGAAGTAAAAATTAATATAAAAAGCTTCCATACCTGCTTTTGTAATTATCAAACCAACCTTTACTAGCTTTAAAATCTGCTTTTTCATCCCTCTTTAAAAAAAATATTTAAGAAAAATATAGACTTTTTAGCTAATGTATCGCTGTAAATTGGACACGCTCGTGATCTCTAGTGCTAAAACCAAACATAAAGAGATTCTTCAACTTATGAATGACTACCTAGTTCTAATCTTTTCCGTCTAGAGAAATCAATATGATTTCGACACTACAACACAAAGCAATTCCAGTAATATGTACTTAAAAAATAGAGCTATTTCCTCCATTCCGTATTTTATCAGTCAACTTTTTTTTCTTTCTTGTTCAGATTACCAAGAATTTCAGATTACTAGGGGTTTGGATTATCGAGATTGTCCTGTTGTATTCCCTTTCTGTCATTTGTGATTTACTTCATCAATGGTTTCAGGAACTTGGTGGTGAAGTATCAGGTGTGAGAGAAAGATTAAGTCAGTTGCAAAGAGATGTAGCTGTAATCAAAAGAGCTGCCCTTCAACCTTTAGTCAAAAGGCACAACTCTATTGCAAGAGATTGTATTAGACTAGATTCTACATTGCAAAGGTAATTATGAATTCTTTCCTCTAAGAGAATTTCTTGTATTGATTCTTATATATTGTTATGGTAATGTTGAATTATATAACTATTCTTTACATAGTTCTGAAAAATGGTTCTATGGGTAATTAATAGTTTTATGGTTTAATAGTTACATTACTAATTGTCCATTGATAAGTGGTTCATGTTAAGTTTTAATTTATTTTTTGTTTTTTATTAACATTAAAAACCAATAGATTTTTTCATTGCATAAAGTCTTTTAAAGAAACAATATGTGATAACACAGATTGTTGAAACTGGACCACAATGCGGCAAATTATCCATTACATGAAAACTAGCCTCTTTGAAGCTAACTGCTAAATGTCTTTTACCAATATAACAAAATTTTATATTCCTTCCTAACGTAGAGTGTCTATGGAATACCATCCATTTATTGCATGTTCTGAACGATGGGATCTCATTTCTGATTTATTTGGAGGAAAGAAACTGGCCACAGGCATTATGTTTTTTACTTTATATAATATGTTTTCTTCTAATTTATTTTTTTTAAGTAAACATGCTTATATCTTTATTTAAATTAATAATAACAATTTCATATTATTAATATGCATACTTTTTTAAGATACCATCAAGAACTTGAAAGAGCTCGTGGAAGTTTTGAATCCTCCTGGCAGGATCAGTTGCGTCGAATCAGATTGGAGCAAGATATATTTCAGTCACAGGTATATTTATATTCATTATGATTATAAAACTTGAATATATGGTACATTTTGAAAATAATGAATAGTGCAAATCCTTATTTTGGGATGGATTTTTTGGTTTGCTATCACATATTTTGTTTTATCTTCATTTAATAGTAGGCCAATTTTTTCTGCTTCTCTTATTAAAGTCTTGTAAGAACCCTCAATGACCTCTTAATGGCATCCGAAGACAGCCACACCATTTTTATATGGCCAAGGATTATATGATTCATTTCAATATAAACACCTCCATTTTATGCTCTTATCACTTTCATATGAGCAATATGTTATTTACTTTTATTACTAAATTTTATAATTTCATCAATTGAATGGCTTATCTATTTGTTAAAGTCATGAATTTCATGTCAATGAATATTAATTTCATACATGGTTGTCGACTATAAACACTTTTAGAAAACCTGTAATATAAAGCCAGCTAGTAAGTTCAAATTTAAACCTAAAAATACGAACCTTGATCTCTTTCTAATCTCCAAAATTTTAATCCTTGTTTCTGATAGTAGTTAAATTAGGTGGCGATAGCAATCCACAAAAACTGTGGTGGGTTAATCGTCTTTAATATCCATAGATTAATAAACAATTTTTATTCATAATTTGTTCAAAGTTTGGATATAAAAAAATAATAAATTAAAAACTTGTGTGTAAATAAATTATAAATTGTAAGTGAAAGTTAGTAAAATGGGTATAAAAATAGATCATGTATATGATAATGTTGTTTTTAACTGAAAATTAAAAAAAAATTTAACAGATAAGTGAAGTTGTGAGAGTGCGATGCGAGGTAAAACAACTCTCGACGGTAGCTCAAGAGTTAGAACCGTCAGTGAAACGTTTAAGTTCTCAGGCCATGGAAGACTTTTCTGCTCTTGTTTCTGCTCATTCTGCTGATCTTAAGTAAGCTTTGAAATCTCAATAATTGTTTTTGTATATAGCTTTATGTATTAAGTATTTAATTTAGTTGTAAAAATTCTGGTTTAATTATTATTATTATTATTATATTTAATATATTTTTTTATAGCTAGTATTAAAAAGCCAAGCCTGTAATATTAATTTTTATGTAAAGTAGTACTTCATATAAAATTACGTTTTATCTGAATGTAGTTTATTAATTCTTATAAAATATTAATTCCACTTAAAAATTATAATTTATGGTTTAATAACTGGTAGATTATGAATTTTCCACTATTTTTGTTCCTCATTATTATGGCGAACAAACTAACATGGAATGAAGGGGGCACCTGCTATAGTTGGCAGAATTTAGAGAGTGGGCAAATTTGAGTAAAATTTTACTTTTTGATTATGTAAAAAATATAATTTCCTGTTTTTTTTATTGCTTTGACTTTAATTCATTCATTAAAGTTAGCTAATGTTATAAGATGGTAATATGTATTTTGAAAAAATTATGTTATTAGTATTATATAACAGTTTCCATGTGGGAGGGAGAGGATGAAATAAGGGCGACAAAATTAAGTTGTCCCCTCTGAAAAAAAAACCGCAGTCCTGGCTCTGCCTTATGTATATTCATTGCTCACTATATTTTAAAAAAGAATTTCATTAATATCGTAATAAATAAGGAGAAAAAATGAATTTATTATTTATAAAATAATTATAAATTATTTTTTTAAGGCACATTTCTTTGTTCTTAAGTAATCGTCCTTAATTCGTGCTTAAGTAATTCGTTCCTTAAGTAATCGTCAATCCATTTTTGTCACTTATAAACGAAATTCTCCATACAAATACTTCCTATAAATCATTAATTATTGAATGAAGGTATTCACGAAGAAAACAAAGATTCAGAAACTTTATATAAGAAGGCTATATTTGAAAAAACTGTTTGATTGTTAATTTTCAAAATATATTTTTATCTGAAATGAAGATTTTGATTGTGTTGGTAAAAAAATATTATTATTTTTATTAATGGAAAATTGTGAATAAATAGTAAAACTTCATCATTATTGAATTATTTTGCACTCACTATTTTATGAGATAACCAATGATAAAAAAAAAATTAATGATTTAGTTTTTATTTTAGATATTTAATGGAACATGGCAGTCATAAGGGTGGTAGTTCTCAGACTTTGGATAAAGTTAAAGGTATCTGAGTTTGTTTATTTATTTATTAATATGGCAACGGTTTACTTTTTCAATTTTATTCAAAATTAAACTATAAATGTGTAATGATGAAACATTTTTTCAGATGCATTGTCAGATGGAAGCAAAAGTGATCACTATGTCAGGGCACAGGATCATCGTATTCGGGGTGTGATAAGCCATTTAATGGAAAAGGTTATTTTAAATTATTAAAAATAATGATTTCTTATTTATATATAAATATTTAACTTGTACTTTTGTATCCTCTATTGCGTTTTTAAAATGTATATTTCATTATTTATTGCTTATACATTTAAAACTATTTTTTTTTCTAAATTTCAAGTTACTTAATCAACTTGTTAGCTAATGTCGAGTATAGATAAAGTTTAATAGTTTATTGGAATATTTATTTTATAAGAATATTACTGAGATAAAAAAATATTTATGGGGAACAGCAATACCCTTCAGACAGCTTTTGCCACTTTATGGGAGAATGACCCATATCTTAACACTTAGAGTATGGTCTCCTCAATGCATGATCTTCTGGTAATGTAAGTATTGTTGGTAATGATATGGCTAATAAAGCAGCAGAAGAAGCTCTTACCCTTCTAGGACACAGTAAACCCTTCTTAACTCTCCCATGTCCAAGAATTTTATTGCTCTCCAATTTTTAAAAATAGCCCAAGAGAAAATAGAATTTAAAAATCATAGATCAAACGCAATTACACTTACTGTGTTCTGTTCCATGCTTTACCCTTGTCCCCTGGTTCGAAACTTTTCATTCAGAAAATTTATAACCCCTTCAAAAGGTGCCCTCCTCAAAAGTTCAACGCACTGCCAAAATGTGCTCCCCTAAAAATGCTCATGACCCAACTTGCCCCATGAAATCTTCTTGGCTCTCCTGTATAACATCACATTTAATCTGGTTTAATCAAAGACATTTGAGGCAACAATGTATCAGCAGGCAAAGCCTGTATAACATCCCAGAATACCATCAGGCAAAAAACTTCTGAAATAAAAATTAATAACAAATCAATTGTTTCTTTTATTTTTTTTAATTAATGAATATTTATTCTTATTACCTTATTAGCTAGTTATCATTATTATATTATTACCTATTTTAACAATTACTTGTGTTTTGATTTTCTAAGGTTCGAACAAAAGAAGATCATAGAAAAAAATCACCTGTACAAGAAGACCGTGTGATAGTGCCTAGGGAGTTGCCTAAAGAGAGGAAAGAGTCCATTGCATCGACGAAAAGTTTGTCTTCAACTAGTAAATGTCATTTTTTTAAATCTCGATGTGTATGCTTGATTAGAAAATTGTTTAAACCCTGTGTGAATATTATAGCTTGTTGTATCAAATGAAAGTCAGTTTTAAAAGTTGAATTTAAACCTTTATCCACCTCCTTACTATATTAGTTTTTACCATTTTATGTAAAGTAGATAAAATAACTTTTATTCCTTAATTTAGTTAGTATCTTATATAATAGCCTTCATTTTGAATGATCCTGTGAAGGATTTGAAACTAAATCATATTTTACTATATTTATTTAATTTTTAAATAAAAAAAAAAAAAATCGGAACACAAATAGTAAGAAAAATAGAACAGACATTATTTAAAGTGTTTTTCTTTTTTACTTCAAAAACTCCTTGGACCATTTTTTTATTGGATATCATTTATGACTAGAAGTGTACCCACCCTCTATGATAATCAGAAAACTTTATGAAGTTGTAGCAGATTTTGTTAAATCATTATATTTTTAGATCATATTGTTAATTATTTATGGTTTACCACAATAATAATATATTTAAAATTATGCATACAAAAAAAATATGCCAGTTATTTTTAACTTTTTAAAATTAACCACAGACCCTTAATTAAAATATATAATTACATTTTAAAAATAATGATAAATAAATAAAACAATTGAGAATGTAAAGTTGAAATAGGAAAAAATGGAATAACTAAACAATATCTCCGTTCAAGAAATTTCATTGAGGATTTGGGGCAAATATTTGATGTTTAAAAAAATATTTATTGGTAAGTTCGAAACCTGGATAATAAATCAGAAAATGAAAATGAGAAATATAATATGCAGACTGACTATTATGGGATATGCTAGAAATCAAAACAATAAAAAAATAAAACATAAATTGAGGCCACGCTTATTCCTATGACAATAAGTTCGAAAAACACAATGGAGTGGATACCTTTAATACAGAAAGATTGTGGTGAGATGAAATTACACAGAGTTGGAATAATCCATTAAAGTATGTTCTTGTGTGGTCATTGATAACCAAATGGTCTGTATTAATTTTAAATGCTTAAAAATAGTTTGTAAATTTTTAAAACGTACTGTCAGAATAAAATTATTTGTATCTTTACAATTTCAAGGACAACCAGTTTCATAATTTCTTATTTTTGTGAAGCAAAAATTTTAATATAATCGTGAAACTTTCCGACTTGAAACAAATCACACAACCAACCTCCTTCCAGTCCATAATTTACATTGGTTGTTCTAACAAAAACCAAATATATATATTTAAAAAAATATATGGAAGGATAATGTCGGTTATATCCTAGTTTCATTAATTTTTGTAAATTAACATTTTTATTTCTATGAAATCAATTATTCTATGGAATATCTTGAAAAGATAATTAGTAATTTATTTATTTTTTAGGAGGAGAGAGTAAATCTCTCGATGGAAAGACCTGCTCATTATACCACAGCCACAGTGCTAAGGGATCTCAACAACAGGTATATTATTATGTTTTTTCACTAATCTTTATATAACTTGATAACTTCCTTAAAATTCATTTCAACTCCGATTTTTTAATATTTGGGGTGGGGTGACCGGACGGGCTTAACGCATGTGCACAGCACCGCCATTGCCCAGAAACTTGATAAATAAAATTACTAGATAAAAATAAGTCACAAGTTTGCGTCCCGGTGCCGGGGGAGTCTTTAAACTCTTCCGTTAATCCTCGCTCTCACCCCCTGGCCCGGGAAAACCCTTATAGCCTTAAAGGCGAGGAAGGGGAAAACCAAAAAAAAAATTACTGAATCTTTGAAGTGAACGAAAATTCAGCCTATTTATCCCTCATTCCTGATACCTCTTAAGATAGTGAATATCAGTTTCATGTAAACCACTTAATTTTTTTGTAATTGATGGTAATTATAAAATTCCATATTTTAATTTATATAATTTTAACTATAAGATTAATAATTTATCAACATTATATTAACGGAGGCAATCCATTTAAATTTTAAACTTTTATATTTATCTAATAAATAAAGATAATGTTAAATTTTATTGGTATGAATTTATTTTAATTTGCCATTTTATGTCTCCGTCAGTAATATATTCATCAGAAAAAAGGTATGAAATTCTATCCTATTGTTTTTATTGAAAAGAGTAAATTTTAAATATTAAAGTTCATGTAATGATTATGTAGTTTTACCATTTTTCTCTTGGTAACAAAACTTAATAGCATATTTTACAAGTAATATCAAGAAAGTTATGTTTAAATAATTATTGAAAAATAGTTATATATATTTTCAATTAGTTGAAAAATTCCTTTGGAATCGTGGAGTGTTAATCCCCATCCATGTCAGGAACCCAGAATACATGTTTTTTTTTTATATTTATTTTTGCTTTTAACAACATTATTTAAAAAGCATAAAATGCGGATACGTTGTTGGTAGGTGTCAAGTACTGAGGATACCGCTCTTCTTGTTAAGAAGTGCATTCAAGATCATCTAGAAGAACAGTTTAAACAGAAGTTACTTCAAGGACAAAGGTCGAAGATTATTAAAAAAGACTTCCCTGGTACTGATATAATTTAGTGTGTGTTTTCTTTAGTAGTTTTTTTTCTTTTGTATTGAGTTTGTTATAGTTGTTTTTCAGAATGTAACATTCATATTTTTAACGTTACTGTAAATACTTGCTATGTGAATGGAAATTTTCGTTTATGTTGTTAGAATAGTTATTATGTATAGCTGGTGTAGTTAATTTCAATTAGAATCATTGTTTACTGTCGTACAGAGTGATCTTTTTAAGCTATATTAATCTTAAATTACATTGTTTGGCTTTAAGATTTTGATCATGATATTGTTCTTATATCAACTTTCATAGTGGCTTTTGTCTGCTATTAACATCCTGGGAAGTTTTAGTAACAATTAGTGTTGTCGAATACAGTAAAGATTTATTGGAATTTTTATGCAGATGAAGATAGTGACTACCAGCATATTTCAGAGGCAACAACTGCTCGAGTCCACAAATCTCCGACTTACCATCCACACTCAGATACAGAAGATAGTGTCTTCTATCCTGACACACCATCTTCAGGGTATGTCAATGTTATTTGATGAATTAATTTGATTTATAGTTAAGCATTTTATTTTATACATTACATTATAAAAACTCTGGCTGGTTCGAAAATTTATTTCTTGTTTTCATAGCGTTTTTTTTTTTTTAGATATCCCTATATATTATTTATTATTTCTATTTATTATTGTTCCTTTGTCAAATACCATCTGGCATCATGTTCACTTAAACTATCTCCTGTACATTGAATAACCTCAGTTATCAAATTAAGTTCAACATTTAGTACAATAAAATCCATAATCTATTTGATCATTTTAACTTAAGCACTTATCATTAAAAAAAAAAAAAATAAATCTTGGCATCAATATATCACATGTTTTAAATTAACTGTTATTATTTTTACTATATGGGGGCCGGTATAGCATAGTGGTTAGCGCGCTATACCAGTAAAGCAAAGATCTTAGGATTGAATCCCGGCCCTACTTCCCAATACGGCTAGTCCCATTAGAGAAGTTAGACCATTACCATTACCCTCTTAATTAGGGGAGGCCTACAAGTTGCAAAGTACTTGTAAGAACAGGTTATACATTAATCATTAATCATTTTTACTATTGTACCTTGTACCTTCTATTATGCTATCTTTATTCAAACTGATTTATTGTTTTATATTAACTGACACATTTAATTTCTGACTATTTATTTATTTTTTTAAATCTTAACAGAAGAAGGTCATCTACTGATTTAATGGATCGTCGAAAGACATTAGTTGTTGTTATCAATAAAGGAAATCGTCTCATGCAGAAACAGCGTTCATGGGAAACATTTCCTCCTAAAAGGAGAGGTGGAAATAACTCAAAATTTTGTAGAGATCCAGAATCTTTCAGAGATGCTTTCCATTTAAATGGTTTGAAAAAGGTTTGTAGCTAAAATTGCATTAAATATTTCTTTTTTATAAATTATTGTGACTTATTAATTTAATATTCATCAGTTATCATATGGCTATTCAAAAAGTATTTCCAACATTATTCATATTGAGTATGATAGGTACAACTACCAGAAATTTTTCACATAGTCAAATCTTGATATTGCTTTAGCTTAACTTAATTTATTTTATTCTAAAATAAGTTCCAATTCGGAGATCCCTTGTTTCTTTTATATATGAGGATTTTTGGAGAAAATGGATGTTTCCTGAGTGAGAAACAAAAATTATGATAAGAAGAATTAATGGTAATTTTAAGAAATGTATGTATGGTTATGAAGCTAACCTTTTTCAAATTCATTCTCTATGTATTGAACTCACCCTTGCTTGGCATTCTGCTACATGGATTTGGTAGAAAAATCATTGATTATAATCGATGCATCCATTATAAAGAAATAAATTCATTAACATTATAGAATGAAACCCAGTCTAGGAAGTTGTATTCATCATCACTTATGTCCCATTAGAGATTCTTTCTTTGGTTGTCTTCTACCTACTTCTTGGTGCTCTTGAGTTGAAGTATTCTGATCCTAATCTGCCATCTTGCATCTCTAAATGAGTGCTGGTAGTTAGTTCTCTTCTTTCTCAAGGAGGAGAAAGCTACTCTCAGTGATTATGTAGATGCCTGTCTTTGTTAGTGTCTAAAATCCCGTGGTGGTCATTACTATTTACTCCGCAGTCTTGGGGATGCTCCAAACGGATAAATATGATCTCATTGGTGTTTGGATCCTGTGAAAATCTGGTTCTATCGTAGCGCATCATGCCACATACCCAAAAATATAGCTAAATCCTAGAACCTCTCTGTTATGTTTATTAGTTGACTACAGTAGGTCATTTCAGGAGTTGCTAGATAGTTTTGAGGCATGGTGTCGGTTATTACTCATTTATGGTTCTCTTATATATGTGAGCTACCTTCAAGTGATTCATGGTAATAAATATTCTTTCTGAATGACAATTGAACTGCAAAAGTGCCTCTTAAGAAAAGTCATTATCAAAGCAATGTTGGCCACAGTTCGTGAGCAAATAAAGATTTAGCTGAACTGATGAAACTAACTTCATTAAATTGAATAAAGAGTTACTGATCACAGAAATGTAACTGTAGATAATTTGTTTTAATATTTTTATTTGTTTAATCTTAAATTATTATGACAAAATAATAATATAATTTTTTACATTCAAATACAATGTGAAATGATGTAATCTTTGTATGTAACATTATTTAAATTACTTATTTATAGAGTTACTATATAATGAAGTGATTTCTTATTTATGCATACATATATTTTTCCAGGCTGATAGCTTTGAAGGACATGAAGAAGCTGTCAGGACATTAGTAGCTGCTGTTCAAGAAACAAGAACGTTGAGGAAGCCCAAAGCTTCAACAGCTCCTCCAACTACTGACTCTGCCCCTGCCTGAGGTAAAGCACATCTTATTATATATTATTTATATTTGTGCCTCTTTCTTTATACTTATATTAGTCGTTAGATCCTACCTCTAAAACATTTTATTTTTCTCATTCTTAGCCTTTAAAAGAATCTCCCTCTTTTTCATACATCTTAAATTTATTTGAATCTATAGACACGAAATCCTGGAATCTAAAACCCTCTGAATTATTAAGAATGCTCCATATTATATTACCTAGAAAATCAATGATCTCAATATACCTTTTATTCTTGTCCTCACATCCTACAAATTTTTTGAAATTCCATCTGAACCTTTCCAGTCTTACGGACCCTTTGACTCTAGCACTCACTACTTCATCCATACCTTTAATTCTCACCTAAGGTTGAAACATCAGTGGGCCTAAGACCTTTTGTTAGTAACTGTTAGAATTGCTCTGGCAAAAGTTCTGGTAATATCTAGGCTTTCAACTCAAGTACTGCGCATCTGTATCTATAGTTGAGTGAGATATGCTTCAATCATAGTTGAATTTATTATTCAATTTGGTTGAATCCCCTGGAGTATAATCATTAGTTATAGAACAAGCTTGGTTTGCAGTAAATATAATTCAGGGTAATGAATTGAGGTTGATCTTTGTGACCATGCTTAAGTCTCTCATTATAATTAGTAAACACACCTAACAAAAAAAGTAAGAAGTTATTAATTTGTTTTAATTTTATTGCCTGCAGATTCTACAAGTGTTTTTACTATTAATCAAAAAGTCAAAATTATCCCTTACCATTAACAAAGATGTTCAATCAGAAAAGGTGAGTATTTCATAAATCTAAGAAGGAAGTGTAACCTTGACCAGTTGTGGACAACTTTGATCTATAAATAAATGTCCACATCCATTGAATTTAGAAATAAGTATCTAAACCATCTTGAAAAATGTATCTCTATTTCTTTATTTCAGACATTACTTCCATAAAAAAATAAGATAATTATTTAAAATAAACAATCATTTGCTTATTTAAACAAAACAAATTAGGGTGAATCCATTTGAAATCACCCAGACCATGTTGCTTGACATTTTTTATTTTTATAATTTTTTTACCAGTTATTCCATGTTTATTTGAGAATTCAAAACCGTAGTTAAAAAAATGTTGAGACACAGTTTTTCTCAGCTGCCATTTTTAATTTTCTTTTCGACTGAAAACATGTTTTCGGAAAATGCCTATAACTCTGGTTATTTTGTAGAAATCAAGCCAAAATAAAAACTGAAATAATTTAGAGTGTTTTTTCTACATTTCTGTTGATCAATGTATCACCTAAAAAGAAAGGAAAGTGGTTTAAAAAAAATCATGAAAATAGAAAAAAAAAGTGATTTTTAGGGCTGCAAAAGTTTAATAAAGAAAAAAGAACCAGTTGAGTCTCAATGATAAAATTTGTATCACACATTTCTATAAGAGGTATAAACTTTATCAATTTCATAACTTTTCGCTTAGTCCTTTTTGTGATATACATCTAAAATCGCCGATAATGACTATTGAGGGTTTGTGAAAATTCATATTTAAAAAAGGACAAGATTTTCAAGATTAAATTTCAAGATTAGAAATTTCATCAGAAAGAAGTATAGTGGTTGGAATACATATGAAGAAAAAATTAAAGTTGAGACTCGTTTCATTATTACATTTTTGCAGCCCTAAAAGTCGCTTTTTTTGTTTTGTCTATTTTCATGATTTTTTTAAACCACTTTCCTTTCTTTTTAGGTGATATATTGATCAACAGAAATGTAGGAAAAATACTCTAAATTATTTCAGTATTTATTTTGGCTTGATATCTACAAAATAACCAGAGTTACAGGCATTTTCTCAAAACATGTTTCCAGTCGAAAATAAAATAAAAATAGCTGCTGAGAAAAAACTGTGAGTCTCAACAATTTTTTAACTGCGGTTTTAAATTCTCATATGAATATGGAATAACTAGTAAACAAAATATTAGTGCATGTTTCTTCCCTACTACTTCAATAATATTCGACTTATGACATATAAGCATCCTTATAAACCTGCTCATTAAACTGCTGGCATGTTGGATACACAACGTAGACAAATAAAAGGAAAAGGTAAATGGGAGTGTAGGCATATTGGTTAAACTTTATTAAAAAGTTAGAAACTACTTTCTCACATTCCCAGAGATGTGTCTGCGGTATCAAAAGCTTCAGGTTAGTCGGTGTATTTTTGCGCTGATTTGTAGCAATTTATTAAATTGTTACAGATTGATTAGCGTTGAGAAGATCGAAATTATTTTTTTAAGAACGTTCTTTGTTATTGTACCATTATTTCTAGATATATTAAGTGTAAACTATTCTTAATTTTTGCCATCATATTTTGATGTTTAATGCAATATGTTAGTGAGTTGAAAGAATAATACTGGTCTCCTTGTAAAAAGTTCATCTTGCTTAGAAAAATGTTAGTGATCATAAATTACTATAGCCATTAATAATTTTAATATTTCTTATTCTTTATTTAGGAGAGGTGCTTGTGGTAAAAGAAGAAAGTTGTCTTTGGAAGCCAAATATGGTAAATGATTCCTCAAGCACGAATTTTTCATCATATCTTCTCTTTAATAGATTACATATATACAGCCACTATTAAGAAACGTCAAGTTTCTTATAACTGTCTCTGGCAGGTTTTAGTATTACAGTTTATCAATTTATTTCAACTTGGACAATTGTGAAAATGATAGAAATGTGATTTCTTTACAAATCACCATGTTCTTTTGATTATAAAATGGATGTTAAGTATGTGTCTTCAGCTTTCCCAATTTTTCTTTTGCTATAGTCTGCATTAAATATTGAATAATATTTTTTAGTACACATTAGATATTGAATAATATGTTTTTTTATATTTTATGTCGCATTATTCGCTGGAAATCAAGGTATTGTAGACTGTTAGATACTGTATAAATGTTGGTCATTAGATTAGATTTAACCTGTATTTGTCAAATATCATTTTCAAAATAAGGACGGTTATGCATACAATTTTATTTATGCAAAGTTTTTCTTATAAGACAAATGATTTTATTTAATGTCATGAATATTTACTTAGAAATAAAGATGTAGAGGTATTGTTAATTGTTGATATGTAAGTATTATCAATGTTTTATGAAACATGATTGCAATATTTTTGTTAGTAAATTAATGAGAATTTACGGTTGTTTATTGTACTAAAAGTTAATAACTGTGGTTGTATTGCTTATTTATTGACAAAATCAGGGGTTCCATAAGTATTTTGTCAAGAGACTTCTTAAATAAGTTTTTTAGGTCTTCCTAAAATAAGGCTAGAAGAAAAAGGAAAAGGAAGAAAATAAGATTATATAGAATGTTAATGATTTATTTTAGAGATGGTTATGTAGTTGACTATTGAAATTATAAGGATTAAAAAATTTAAATTTCAGGATTTGCTGTCTAAAATTTCTTTTAATGAGGTAGCCGACATTTCGACCCAAACATGTACATCATCATCAGGACTAAAAGTAAAAATAAAAAATAAATTTTTATCTGATGATAAACCCACATGTTTGGGTAGAAACATCGGCTAACTCATTAAAAGAAATTTTTGAATGCAAATGCTGAACATTTTTTTTTATTCTTAAATTATTTATTGCTTTAAATTTTATAAATGATGAGAGGTGAACAGATTGATTATCCTACTTATTATATATTTGTTGCCCTTACCTCTAGCTTTCTCTACTGCTTACATGAGTTCTTAAGGATTATTTAAAGATTTTGACTCTCAAACTCTTAATTATCCAAGAGATCTGTGCAAGTTTAGCATCTCTTGTCTGGAAAGTAGGTCCTTTTTTTCTTTTATATTTTCATTTTTATAATGCAAACATTTTATTCTTGAAGTGAATGAAATTGATTAATCATCATGTTACTCATATATTTATTTTATTTTTTATATTAGATTGAATATAAATACAAATTCATTTCGCGCAAAATTTCTAAATGATTATGAAAATGAATACATGTGTGGATGGTACTTACACGTTGTGAAAATCAAAAAGCAGTATTTACTCAAAAAATTATAAAACCATATTAAGTTGTTTTACAGTAGCTATAATGGTGAGATCATTAATGCAAAATAAGTTTCAATTGTTCACACACTTATACTCGATAAGCTAATTATTAAAGTTATCAGTGATTTTGGAAGGACCCCTGCTGATATCTTATATTTTGTTTTATCACTATCATGGGATGTACTGTGATCCTTGTGATACTTCGGGTGATATTAGCACATTTACTAATTGTATAAATTAATGAAACTATACTTTTTATCATTTTTGGATTGATTGAATTTAGAATATATTTAAATATTATACATTTTTTAATTTATTTTATAGATTTTATTGTTCTTTGTTAAACGAAATTTTACAGTTTTTCTGTTAATTAATTAATAGATCTAAGTCTAGTTTTTCCATGAACAGGAACGATGTTTTTCAAATTGTGTATCTATTGCATATGTTGTAATTCTTTAAAAAATTAGTAAAATCTTCATGAAATTCGAGGTTAGATATTTTTAATGTTTTATTGAATAGTTTTGCAGAATAAAGGCTGGTTACAGCATTGTCTGTCAAGTCCATTAACTTAAATTGCTAAAATTTTAAATAAAATTATAAAGCATTCTAGAAGAAAATATTTGAAGAAAAATGTTTTCAGAAAGTGTCCTTAAGAAAATATTAAAGAAAGATTTGTCATGAAAAAAAAAATAGAAAAAAAAAGAAGTGTATTGCTGTAATATCTCCAATTGATTAATTAACCGTGAATTGTAGATATATTTAAATAGGTTAGCAATTATGCTATGAATATGTAGCAGATATTATAGTTTGAATTGTTACCACATAATTAATTGTGAAGAATAGTTTAAATATAAAACAGAATATTGATGGCTATTGTATTATAATATGGTAATTAACATTTAATTTTTATAACATTTGCATTTTTATCTTCAACATAAAATGAAACAGATTTTCAATTTTTTTTAGTTTTTTACTTTTCTTTATCTTATTAAGTTATTTTTCTATCAAAGCATTAATATTTAATTGTCACATCAATTTCTATACAATTTCCATTGAACTCCTGAATCCATTAATTTAATAAATAAAAGTTTTGAAAATTTAATTAAGACTGCATGATATGATGTGCAATGGAATTTTTTGGCAACTTTGGACATTTCAAGTTTTTATTTTTTAATTTTGCATTGAATCATAACATTCACTAACGTAACAGAAACAGATTTGATTGGCTTTTTCTCTTGAATAATACACCTGTATTTTATTTATGAAACAAAATATACCTGTATTTTATTTATTGCATGAGTAGAACTTAACTGTTTATGTGTCAGGTTTCATCTTAACATGGTAAAAAATTATTTTCTGAAGGTTATTTACTTTTATGATCTTCAAATATAATGGATAGGACCAACAAAATTGGAAAATAAAGCATTAGATAATTGCTTTATTAAGTCAATTGGAGGATACTTTAATGTATGATAAACTATTACTATATTTGCTTGGCTCTAAAATGCACTTTTTTAGAAGCCATAAAGTTGAAAGATGCTATGTTTTTCATTTTTGAAATCTCATATCATATTTAAAAGATATGAGATTTTTAAAAAACTTATTATTTTTCTTCTTTTTTTTTTCGTCTTTTACTTTACATTCCCTTCTTTTGCCATCTTGACTACCCTGCTCTTCTTCTGTCAATCCATTAGGACTGACATCACCATAGAGGGAGTATCCAGAATTAAGAAGGAATAGCATTGAATAATTCCACTTCGTTCAGAAGTAATATGTTCATGTCGATATAATAAGAGCCTCTTAGATTTAAGCAAATATGGTACTTGACATTTTGTAAACTTCTTGGTTTATAATAGTAACTGATATTTTTGAGAACTGCTTGCTGGTTAATGACAGTAGTATTAATTTGTTTTTATGTTCATTTGTTTTGTTTTTTGTGCAATAAATTTGCAGTACATGCTAGAAAATTATTATATATTTTTTTTTTTTAAATTGAAAGCCAGAAATAAAATTTTCTACATTATTCATAAGAATTATATATCTTATATAAATATCTATACAATTTAAGAGTAACTAAAAAAAATAAATAAAAATAATTGAATTGCATTTTGTAATGATTGTAATATATTTAAATAATCCATAACCCTTAATGGATAATTAATAAATAGGGCTTTTATATAATTAGCATTGACCACAGTTTTATAGTTAATGGCTGTGTTATTTCATGAAATTATTACTCAAACCACTGGATGATTTAAAATAAGTATAAATTAATCAACTAAGTATTAAAAAATTGATAATTAAAATATCCAATGTCCAATAAAATCATATGGTTATTTCTTTCAGTGATATATGTACCTGTTTCTATTGTATTAATATAATGTATTCATTTTTTCAATCTTTATTTGAATGTTCTACTTAGTCTTATTTAATTATCTGAAATGGAATCAGGGCTTCAGACCAAGACCTAAACAAAAACCAACTAATCTAAAGTACCAAAAGTAGATTATTATTTTACCAACTTCTGCATTTTTAGTTTAAAAATCAAGCTTAATCCATTTACCATTCAGACAGTTTTCAATGGTTTTACTTGAAAAAATTTTATAGTTCAATGTTAGGAAGTTTGTTATATGTTTATATACCCATTTTTTATTTTATTTATTTTTTTAACAAATATTGTTTCCATTATAAATTGTTTCTAAAATGGAAATAAGTATATGGTTAAACATTTGGTATTTATTGTTAAATATTTGATGTTTCGCCTTTTCTTTTTTTCCTCCATAATTTTACTAAATCCAAACAGTTTTTCATGATTAAATTAATCAAGTTAGCTAGCCAAATGTTAAAATACTTAGTTGGTTAAATTTTAATTAACTATAAATATAGTTACATTGTTAGTTAAATTAATTTAGCATTACAAATTTTTTTTTTTTTGCTATGTCTAGTTTTTACCTTGTCTCTAAACTAAATTAAGTTCAATGAGTATTTAGTTTTCATTTTAGTTAACTAATATCAAGTTTTATGTTTTAGTTTTTATAATTGATGCGTTAATGTTTCACATAGTTGCAATATATAATTGAAATTCTATTTTGTGATTCTCAAGTCTAACTCTATTCAGTATTATAACTTTCAAATAAAGTTTGTTTATCTTAAAAATAATGCAGCAAATTCTGTCGGGTCAACGGATAAACTTTTAAAAAATTGAAATGGAAACACAAAAAATCATGGTTAAGAACGAGACTGAAAATAAAAATATTCTACTGTTACCGACTTTTTTTTATATGATCAAAACAAGACGGTTCGAAGCCCTGAATAGCATTAAATAAAACCTTTTGCTTTCTCTGTAATGTTAATCAAGCAACTTAATATCATATTTCAAAGACATTAATGATTGTATTTCATATTTATCTATGAGGTACAATACATGAACATTTTTAGCAGTCATAGGTAAGTTATGTTATGAGAATTGCTCAATAATTAATTGAATTTATTAACTTTAAAATAAAATAAAATATGGCATTTAGCATGTAATATATAATTAATCTGGTAATACTCCAATTTTTTTTGGATATATTAAAAAAATTCACAAATATTATATATTAAGTAATCTTGATTTACTAATGCTTTTGAATAATACTAGTAATGAAGACCATAATCAAATTATGAACTTTTGTATAAGTACAAATTGTCAATTATGTGGTTTATAAAGCACAATTATCTATTTGTTTCTGTTTATATTACTCAGAACATTTAAGCATATAAGTTTAATTCTATCTTACATTAGTAAGATTAGAATATATTACATAAGAATGTGATGTTTATTTATTGGGGAATAATATAAGTTATTATTTTACTTCTCCAGTTTAATATTTGTTGAAGTTAGTACTAAATTATAACTTTAAAGGTTTATTGAACAATGTCAAATTTTATTTAAGAAATAACAGACTTCTAAAAGTAATTTTAGATTCAATGTGATTTGTATTTCAGACCATACTGTAAGTTTGATAAGTGCTATCCATTATGCTTCTGTATTCATAATATTGAAATATTCTCTAACTTTTTTTATTAAGCATTTACATTTTGTTAAATTGTTTACATATTTATATTATATTATATTTTTGATTATATTATACGTAATCAAAAATTTATCCTATGGAGAACAATATTTATTTTTAATTCATACAGGTTGCTTATTTCTAAACTTTATATTTATTACCCTTTGTTTTTAATTTATAAAACATATACGGCATGAAAAAATTACAGGATCTGTTGTGCATAAATACGGTTATTTTTGTCATTATTTAAAGAAAGCACCAGGACTAGAATATAGAAGCGACTTGCTTTGTAGCGAGTTAAGGATTGAGAGGAATTATATGTAAATGAACTAAAGTAATATCAGCAGCCATTTCTGGACTTGATGTATTGTGAATTAATCCTCTCGATTTCGAAAATTTTAGTAAGATAAGTCTAAAGCATTCTATAATATTTTATACTTATAATAAAACTAAAATCTTTTCCAATTTTTTAAATTTTTTGTTTTAGTTTAACATTCGTTTTCCATGATTAACATATTTATGCACAATAGTTGTGTTAAAATTAAGATAGTAAAAAATATTTGTACTACTTATTTATGTTATGATTGGTTTATAAGTGTATTAAATTATGATATTTAAAAAAAAATTACTATTATAATCGTGATGACATAAACCATTGTGTTCACCTGTACTCTTATATCACAACAGCTCAACAGTTGTAGTTAGAAATTGACGTATAAAAATACTGCCATATTTATTAAACATTATCTCCTTGTATATATATATGTGACATTTTGATAAGTTAATCAAATCAGTATTATTTTCATCCTAATTGATTATAATTATTTATTTGTAGCTATACTTAGAACACCAAGAAGCCATTCTGTTGTAAGAAAATATTGTTTCATAACTTATAAAAAATTGTTTATGAAAGATGTCATGTTTTTACCTAAAATATAGTCATTGAAGCTTCCATTTTATAGTGAATTTATTTTATATTTTGAGATTGAGCATTTAAATTAATAAACATGTTCCTATTATAATCTGAAATTTCAAGTGGTAGAACATACTCTTTAGAAAAAAAAAATTGGATAATTATTAAAGATATTAAAAGTAACTGGGAGGATGAATCTAAAAACAAACTCTGTGGATAAAGCACTAGACTCATAACTCCTGGTCCCAGTTTCAAGTTTACACTATGTCTAGAAAATTTATTTGGCAAGAAAATAAATTCATTAGGAATCGTGGACTCTGAATAAAAAAAACATTCAAAATACAAGTGACAGAAAACGTTTATTCGAAAGATTGAGATGAAAACTAGAAGAAACTGAGTCCTCAATTCCACTATCAGGTCAAACCTTATCAAGAAAACAAATAATGCGATGCAAGGGAATCAGCTCAGGTGGCTTTGTCATCTTTTAGGGACTAGAATTACAGAGAAAATTACTAGAGAGATGTATCAGCCAAATTAGATGAAAGACAAAGATAAGGACAACTTAGAACCAGTGGCAGATCCAGGAATTTTCACAGGGGGGAGGAGCGCACCTCTGTACCACTTGCTTCCCCCACCCATATCCGTTCCCCATCACTACCCATTTCTCCCCACTCCTTAGCTGAGTTTAGCCGCTCAAAAGCCGTCTTTAAATAGTTTTAACAATAGGAAACTCTATTTTTATTTAGAGTAAATTTTGATTAGTTTTCAGTGAAGCTATCATTAATTATTTAAATTAATTTTTTTTATCACTTTCTATTTAACAAAAAACGTGACACATAAAAAAAAAAACTTTAATTCTCTGCTTTCCTAATAAAAATCGTACCATTGTTTATACAAACTTTTTTTGTATTTATTGAGTTTTGCTATCACTCCTTTAAATATGTCCCTCTACTTACGTGACACCCTGTATATGGGTTTAGACAGGTAAAAAACTAAATTGCTAACACAAAGAGAAAACTTTTTAGAGCCGAAAATTCCATTTTTTTCTGATTTTTTTTTTTTCATGTATTACCACTAAACAGTGCATCTAATCGAAAAACGTATTCTTTAAGAAATTTAAAAAAACGTCAAATTGTGTGTTGAACGAGTACCTAAACTTAATAATTTGATTAAGTGATATGGTCGATAACCACGGTAAATGAAAGCTAATTTTTACCGATATTGTCAAAATCTGAGAAAGATTACTGTAAATGGCCTTGCAGCTTGGAAGAAATGAGTTACTTAAGAAAAAAAACTCAGAATAATTTCCGATTCTGATCAAATCGGCGACCAAATAGTTACTAAATTCCTTCATGAAACCGTTCCCAACAGCAGCTATTTTAATAAAAGAACAACACATTCTAATGAAAAATATAGAAATTATTATCGACCAGTTTTATGATTCACATTGATTCTTCAAGATTATAGTTGCTGAAGATTGCAATGCGTTCAGATCTATTGAAACAGTAAAAACTGAGTCCGAAAGAAAACCCATATTTTCTTGTGCTCGAATAAAATGTGGTTCGAAAGAATAGATAGTTTTTTTTTTTTTTTTTTTTTAATAATCATGCATTTCATCTGCAAGACTCAGTAGGAACAAACTGCGAAAGAAGCAAAGGCCTTCGAATCTCAGGACGGCCCAAAAACTACATCACTCTTTTCTTTACATAGATGTTTTTCTGCATCTTCTTTTTTCGGAATTATTTTTCTAACATCCAGAGGCGGACGCGCCCCCTGACAGATTTCGCTAGTGCTGGTCACGATAATAATTTTTTTTTATGTTACATTAGAAAATTCATTTATGGAGATGATTTATTTTTTTTAAATCCTACCCTGCCGGTAAGGCAATACGGGTGTTGTGCAGCAGTGAGTAGCAACGCATGCGTTACAACTCACTGCTGCATTCAGACCAATTACATTTCTTTTTTATTTTTATTTTTCAGCTCTGCACACAGCCTGCTCTTTCTTCTTTTTTAGCCAGCGTCCTCTTCCACTTTTTTTTTTCCTTGTTGTAACCGTCAGAACGTAGAGCCCCGTCTCCCTCAACAACTTAGCCCTCAGTGCCTCAAAGGCGGCACAGACAAGGATGATATGCTCGGCGGTCTCCACCACTCTGCAACTTAGGTATAGGGGACCAATGTTCTTACTATATTCAATGAGCTTTGCTAGGAAACCCCCATGTTCTATGAGGAACTGTGAGACCCAGTAGTCCGGGAGAACGCATGTCTGTTCCATTCTTGAACCAAAGGTGGGGAAGTATTTTCTTAGCGTAGCCTCTTTTGGCGTCATCACCCACCGCTGGTTCCATTCCTTTCATGTGTTCTCCCGAAGAATGCTCTTCCATCTATTAGGGTCTTCACTGATCCTCACACGAAGATTCGCCGGTAGATTCAGTAGGCCTTCCCTCTTCATCTTATGCCGAAAGTATTCTTCTCGTAGGAGAAGATCAATAGGAGTAGTTCTGGCTAAGACTTGTACCGCCTAATGAGACACTGTCCGGTACGCTCTACTGACCCGCAGCAGAGCCATCCGCTGGATTGTTTAAATAGGTGTTTTTGTCACTTTTTTTCGGATTTTTTTCGCACCATCCAAGGGAGGGTGCGCCCCCTGGCAGAATTCGCTAATGCTGGTCACGAAAATGAATTTTTTTTTATATTACATTAGGAAATTCGTGTATGGAGATGAATTTTTCCTATATTACTCTTTTCTTTAAATAGCTATTTTTTGTAATTTTTTTTTCCACCATACAAGTGAGGGCATGACCTTTGGCAGAATTCGCTAATGCTGGTCTCGATAATAATTTTTTTTATATTATATTAGGAAATTCATCGTCAATGAGGATGAATTTTCGCTCTATTTCTTTAAATAGCTGTTTTTGGAATGTTTTTTGCAACTTTTTTCCAGCCTCCGTGGCGCTCCCCGGCTGGATCCGCTAGTGCCTAGAACTACGTGGGAAAATGACGTAAGAAAAAATTTCTAAAAAAAGAGGGCCTTGATGGAATAGGAGACAAACTAGTAGAAGACCGACAGAGCTGGAAGGGCTCTAATTTTTTTTTGAGTTTCCATCAGCTGATGTAAAAGTTGTTTCAGTAGTTTTAATGGTTAAGTTCTCCCCTGAGTCCAAATAACAAAGTCCTTCGCAGGGCAGTCGCCATCACTCTTTTAATCCTCAATCCATGGCACCCAGTTAGGTGACCGGGATGAGGACAAACATTAAACGCAACTAACAAGGAACCCGATTTAAATGAGATTTGACAAAGAATGTATATCTAGTGTGAGCGTTTCAAACAATATATGTAATCAAAGTATTTTAATTTACATGAATAAATATTTATATAATACTGTAGTACAAGGGTCTCCAAATTTTTGGCCCACGGGCAACATTGAAACCTACAACGAAATCCCGCGGGCGATGCCTGGTGATGAAAAAAATATCTTATTCTATAAACCATATGTATGTATACAAAAAAAAAAGGAATAAATAAGTGAGTAATTTGCTAAATTTCATATTTTTGAATAGTTATTCAAATTTTACAATTTTATCAAAGAAATTCGCGGGCTGTGATTTGAAGACAAACCCCTGCTGTGGTCTAGTGTTTATGATACTACTGAGTGCATTCTGCAAATATAAGTTCACGTCTATTCGGTGATTATCCGACAGAAACACTAGTAGACATCCTCCTTTCCTTCACCAAATATTCACTCTGTAACTTTGTTTACAAGTTAACAGCCGACAACCCTTCTCAGTTTCTTATATCCTGTAAAGTGTTGGACATAAGAGGTCATCTTAATTAATTACATGAATAGTGAATCGGTAAATATGAATTATTGAGACGGTACAAAAGTGAACTATCTGTTAACAAAGTTCAATTTAGGTGCGTTTGTTTAAAGCTATGGAAGATTTGATTTTACTTGAATTTAATTTAATTTTATATGAAACAGAAGAACTGTCAATTTTAGGAACATTAACAAATTACTGATTACAGAATTTTTTTAATTGATCTTACGTATTAAATTAATGCTTAAAAAACTTTTTTTTTTTAATGTCTTTGCATTGGTGCCTAATAGGAGTAATAAACTATTTTTTCCCAACATTTTATATCATAATTTTAAGTAATTTATTCCGAAATAAACATCATTAGATATTATTAACAGAAATAAGATCAAAAGAACAAACAAATTTTTACTCGAGCTAAAAAATAAATTTCTCGAAATTTGATGGGCCCTGAAGTCTGCCGTTCGGAAATACTGCCTCCTTTGCCCCTCCCTAGATCCTGGCCCGCCAATCGTTATGTAATAAATTTTAGTAACAGAGGTTAAAAAAAATTAAATAAATAATTGCCTATCATAGAATTGGATAGACCATTGCTTTTTTTTCATTTGGGTTTAAAACTAGATGATTCTTTTCCCACTGTAATATTTAATTTAGCATTATAACTCCCAACCCATTCCAACACTACCATTACCACACATGCTGATGACACATGTATCCTATCAGTTAATAACGACCCATCGATTGCATCCCAAACTCTTCAATCTCATATCACAAACCTTAAAGAATGGTGTCAAAACTGGAGAATTCAAATAAATTCCATCAAATTACCTTCACTGTTCGACATAAACCTATGCCGTCCTGTCCTACAGTATCCTTTAACAATTCCCCACTTATTCCTGTTGAACAAATCCGATACCTAGGACTCCATCTGGACAAACGACTCACTTGGAATCTATACAAGACTGAAACGACAAGAAACTGCTAGACGTTTTCGACTACACTTAGCAGACAAACCCTTTAAGTTTCTATATATTACAAAAGACTAATAATATACATGACCATAATAAGGCCGATTTGGACTTACGGAATTTAGCTTTGGGATCCACTAAACCATCGAATTCCTCTCGTATCCTATCCTAAATCCTTTGTAAAATCCTCAATGCTCTTTACATTGTCACAAATAAAATCATTCATAACTACCTTAACGTACCATATGTTTCCAATTTAGCTCAATCTAGATACCTATCCTTCCATAACAAACTTCAAAACCATCCGAACCCTCTCGTTTCAAACCTTGCTTCCTCTTCGATACTTGATAACCCTCCAAGGCGTCTGAAAAGAAGATGGCCTCATGATCTACTTATGTAAATATATTATTAGAGTGCTACCAATGGGCAGTTTCTCAACAAGCGTTTTCATGTGATTGTATTATTACCGTGCGAACATTTACTGGATGTATTTTTAATTTATACAGTTGTAAATCTCATGAATAAATAAATAAATAAAACACATTATAACATGCCATTAGGAGGGTAATAAATACTAAAAAGCTTTGAATATGGGTAAAAAAATAACTCTGCTCTGGTATGATAATAATTTGGTAATATTAACTGAAAACACGGAAACTACTAAAAAATATATTAAAGAGGAAATTAGGCC